CAACAGTGATTACAATTGCTCAGCTAACCGAAATCAGTCGCAAGCGGCTGTATTTTGTAGGCTTTGCTTGCTCTCAGGTGCTGTAGTCTAAAAATGGGCCGAACCGGGATTCGAACCCGGGACCTCTCGCACCCGAAGCGAGAATCATACCCCTAGACCATCCGGCCAACAGTGATTACAATTGCTCAGCTAACCGAAATCAGTCGCAAGCGGCTGTATTTTGTAGGCTTTGCTTGCTCTTAGGTACTGTAGTCTAAAAATGGGCCGAACCGGGATCCGAACCCGGGACCTCTCGCACCCGAAGCGAGAATCATACCCCTAGACCATCCGGCCAACGTGATTACAATTGCTCAGCTAACCGAAATCAGTCGCAAGCGGCTGTATTTTGTAGGCTTTGCTTGCTCTCAGGTGCTGTAGTCTAAAAATGGGCCGAACCGGGATTCGAACCCGGGACCTCTCGCACCCGAAGCGAGAATCATACCCCTAGACCATCCGGCCAACAGTGATTACAATTGCTCAGCTAACCGAAATCAGTCGCAAGCGGCTGTATTTTGTAGGCTTTGCTTGCTCTCAGGTGCTGTAGTCTAAAAATGGGCCGAACCGGGATTCGAACCCGGGACCTCTCGCACCCGAAGCGAGAATCATACCCCTAGACCATCCGGCCAACAGTGATTACAATTGCTCAGCTAACCGAAATCAGTCGCAAGCGGCTGTATTTTGTAGGCTTTGCTTGCTCTCAGGTGCTGTAGTCTAAAAATGGGCCGAACCGGGATTCGAACCCGGGACCTCTCGCACCCGAAGCGAGAATCATACCCCTAGACCATCCGGCCAACAGTGATTACAATTGCTCAGCTAACCGAAATCAGTCGCAAGCGGCTGTATTTTGTAGGCTTTGCTTGCTCTTAGGTACTGTAGTCTAAAAATGGGCCGAACCGGGATCCGAACCCGGGACCTCTCGCACCCGAAGCGAGAATCATACCCCTAGACCATCCGGCCAACGTGATTACAATTGCTCAGCTAACCGAAATCAGTCGCAAGCGGCTGTATTTTGTAGGCTTTGCTTGCTCTCAGGTGCTGTAGTCTAAAAATGGGCCGAACCGGGATTCGAACCCGGGACCTCTCGCACCCGAAGCGAGAATCATACCCCTAGACCATCCGGCCAACAGTGATTACAATTGCTCAGCTAACCGAAATCAGTCGCAAGCGGCTGTATTTTGTAGGCTTTGCTTGCTCTCAGGTGCTGTAGTCTAAAAATGGGCCGAACCGGGATTCGAACCCGGGACCTCTCGCACCCGAAGCGAGAATCATACCCCTAGACCATCCGGCCAACAGTGATTACAATTGCTCAGCTAACCGAAATCAGTCGCAAGCGGCTCTATTTTGTAGGCTTTGCTTGCTCTTAGGTACTGTAGTCTAAAAATGGGCCGAACCGGGATTCGAACCCGGGACCTCTCGCACCCGAAGCGAGAATCATACCGCTAGACCATCCGGCCAACAGTGATTACAATTGCTCAGCTAACCGAAATCAGTCGCAAGCGGCTGTATTTTGTAGGCTTTGCTTGCTCTCAGGTGCTGTAGTCTAAAAATGGGCCGAACCGGGATTCGAACCCGGGACCCCTCGCACCCGAAGCGAGAATCATACCCCTAGACCATCCGGCCAACAGTGATTACAATTGCTCAGCTAACCGAAATCAGTCGCAAGCGGCTGTATTTTGTAGGCTTTGCTTGCTCTTAGGTACTGTAGTCTAAAAATGGGCCGAACCGGGATTCGAACCCGGGACCTCTCGCACCCGAAGCGAGAATCATACTCCTGGACCTAAGTTTACGGCAACTGCCCTTCCCGCTTAACTATCGGATTTCTCGCAGGAACGCAACTCCGTGCATATGCAAAGGTGCGTATTTTTTGCAAATGACCGCGGGGACCGCCCTTTCTCGACGACGTAGTCCTACAACCATCGCATAGGTGTCTTGCAGTGGTGGTCCGAGGGGGGGGGCGCCCTCTCCCCGAGAATGGGTCGCGAAATTCTTGAAACTTACCTACATGGGTTATAAAAATTTGCGAATGACTTGTTCATTATTGTAAACAATTAAAATAATTTTTAAAATTTTTTAAAAATTGAAATTAGCCTTAAAAATTTTTTTCGGCCCCTTTTTCTAGTTTAGGGGTCTAGGGCCCGAAAAAGTTTTAAAAAGCACCACGTGGCGTTAGCCACGCACCTTCATTTAAAAAAATTTTCCGCGCCCCCCCCCCCGGACGGAAATCCTGGGACCGCCACTGGTGTCTTGACATGTAAAAGTTGACTCTAGGTATAGTTTGTCTCAATGGATCAGGCAGACGTTGGCTCAATCGCGAGTTCGCAACAGTCGTGGTCTGTGCTGCATGCGCACCATACCTTCGATAGTCCAGAGACAGGGCGTCAAAAGTGAAGGTTGTTTGAACATCTGACTTCATTAATTGTGAAGGTTGTTTAATGAAGATCAAAGAAGAGTATATGACGTAAAACAGATATTAAAAGCGAAAGAAACTGCTGAAAACCGGGCAAAAACGCTGCAAAGAGGTCTGAAATCTTTCATTTGGCGGCTTTTCGAAGTGCAAGTTTTCGCTCTAGTACCAGCAATTCGCAACACGGGGTTTTGATTTTTGATGCGTCCTTTAAATTTTTACCCCCGCAATGACGTTCCTGTTTCCTCTGACGTTGTCTGGAATGTTGCGCTTATTGTTCTGAGCAATAATCGCCCAAACTGGAAAAAAATCGATGCGAAAGCACTGAAACAGAACAAGGTAAAGAAAAACGCACTTTTCACGATTTTTCGCAAAAAATTCCACCATAATCGAAGAGGTAAGGGCTGGGTGGTTGTCTGCATTATGAACAGAAGCAAGATCTATAGAATGCACGAAAAAACCTCGTGAAAAGAGTTAAAGTAGGAGAAAAAACAACAGATTTTCGAAAACAAGGTTTTTGCCGGATTTCTCGATCAAATCAAAAAATATGGTTTTGGGACGTTGTCAGTGTGAAAATAGAGATCAAGAGCTCCGAAACGATATATAGCTTGCTAAAATTGAATAACAGCGAAGAAAAGGGACCAGAGCCAAATGCCCCGCGCCCCGCGTTTGGGGTAGCGAGGTAGCGCGCAGCGCGCGAAGACGCAGACGAGCAGCGGGGACAGACCAGAGCCGACGGGGCATTTGGCTCTGGTCGTAGATCTCCGCGGGGTCTCAGCGAAACCCTGCAACATTATATATCATTCTGATCGTCGTCACAAGACGAGAAGAACTGATAACGTCCCAATCTTTGATAATCACTCATTAACGAGATAGACCAGCGTTTTCGAGGGCGACTCTCTTCGCAAGACTTAAGCGCAGTTACTCTTTTTTATTCAACTCCAATTGCTTTCCTGAACTTCTGAAACTCGATTTTGTTCAAATGAGAGGTTAACTAAGAAATTTTGTCCTGAATTCTGGCAAAAATTCCACAGAAACCTTCTTTTTAAGGTAAAAAAGGCTATGAAAACGCAGATTCTCGGTTTCGCTGAGATGAGCTGAAGATATTATCCCCTATATTCGATTCATTAACATTCGTTCCGATGTAGTTAGGATAATAACATCCGGGACGAAGCCCCGGATGACTTCTGTTTTTATCCAGGTGAAGGTTGTGTCCCCCCATAGCCCTCAAAGTGAAGGTTACCAGAGTACGTGGCTCTATGTATCGAGGGTATGATGCGCACTGCAAGCACGCGCCGGAGAGCTCGCAAAAAATGAGAAGAGAACGGACAAATCGTGACAGATCACCGCAGCAAACCGCAGACCTGACGTTAGATAATGGCAATGCAGACGGGCATCATGTCAATCTCGGCCTGATCCAGAGTACAAACTGTAGTATATACGATCTGCGATTTGGGAAATTTCTACACGGGACCGCTTTGAGATAAATTACAAAAACGAGATTGATATGTCTTTTAAGAGTGTCAGGCTGTAATTACCTAGTAGTCCTCTTTGTCTTTCTCATCCGCTCCTCCAGCGACGCAGCATACGCAAAGCGAGCATTGCGTGCGAACGGTCCTAAAATGTATATACCCACAGAACGAAAGCAGAAAAGAGAGATTAACAATAAGGAAGTTTACACACCGCTGAGAGTTATGGCATGCCCTGAATGAGCGTCACTGTACATCACGCAAGCTGAGGTAGAATTAACCTTGAGGTACTTTAATGAATACGAAACAGCCTTAAGATAGATGGTACCATGAGGTATAAACTACCTCAAGGCACATTTTACCCGAGGTAGAATGACGAATACGGCCACAGGTAGCAATGATTAATACGGCCACTGGTTTGCAAAATGTAGCGTGTAAGAATGAGATCAGAGCATTGTTTTAGGACGCAAATTTGTATTCTGATTGAGGTAAAATTATGAGGTTGGGCGAGAGTGTTTATTTATTTGATTTGTGGGACTTTAAAAGGCAGCGTCCACCCAAAATCTCGCCTTCCATGTGTTTGTCTTTCCGAGGCTTTCCTGTGGCCCTGATTACAACCAGGAAGACTAAATGTGCGAAGCCCACAAATAACTCGGTTCTCTGTTCGGGAGCCCTATCCAAAGCAAATGGCTTTTACTACCGAATGAACGGAGCTTCATCGGATTTGAGAGTGGCTAGCTAGCACTTTTGCTGTTCTCCTCCTATTATCTCCATTTAGAGACATTGGAGGACCGCGTCAACGCAGATGCCCCTCTCGTGTGGCCTACATTTATGTTGGGTACTAATCGAAGGGGGTTAGTTTTTACTGGAACGTATCGTCTGAGCATGTGAATGGCTATGCATTTACATAAAAAAGAATGTACTACCGTTTGCTCACCTTTTCGGAGTACCGTAAGCCTAAAGCATTTACTCTTGTATGTCACTTTAATCTGCGCGAAACACCCTTCGAAACTTCACAGTCAATTACTGAGAACTGCGATATCCACATAGCTTTATTCCGCACCTTTATTAAACTTCAAAAAAAAAACGAATCATCGCGATGTATAGCACAAATGCGATATCAAATCGCTGCTGCCAAAAGCAAGGACAAGAAAAAACACAATGATGTAGTGAGGGAATGATAAGACAATGCCAGATCTTCATTTGAGCGCCACAAAAGAATAAAAGCAAAAACGAACATTAACCTCTTCTATGAAAAAAAAATCGCATTACACTTCACCTACTCGGTGAAGTCGTACAATTCATTCTAGAGCTAGCAATGACCCGTTTTCGAATTTATTTCCTCTTCTTTGATTCGGTGGATACTGACTGGTACTTGGCTTTGCCTCCACGAAGCACGTACGATTGTAGGAAGAAGTTGATGAATAGAATTAGGTATGTGGTGTCCATGAACATAGCCAGTACGAAAATATTGTTGTCGAAGTCGCATGGAACCTGAAAAAATGAATTAGAAAAAAAGAGAAGTCATCAAAAGTGGGAAGAAAAGACTTCCTAAAGCTAAATGTACCTTGGCAACGTTCACGAGGTAGCCAATGTGTACCAAAACAGTGCAGGAGATGACGAATTGAAGAATTTGTATTGTTGTGATGAACTTTGCGAAAATGCCTGGCACGCTGATTTTCATCGAACGAAGGAAATAATAGCTGGAAAGGCAAAGTTATTAGCAAATAAATGAGTTATATATGCTTCTCTAATTTCTTACCTGTACATAAACGCATGAACCAGGAAGTTGAGGTAGATACCGTAACGATTGAACCCAGGGGTGCGAGGGTGCGAGTAAAAAGCGTAGATAGCAGTAAGAATGTGATGGTACCTGAAATTTTTGTCTTTGCTCATGATTTAGTACATTTTTGAGCCCCAAAAATACTACTGTTCCATAATCTTTGAGAAAACCGACTAACGGAAGGTAAAGCTGCACAAGATGAATCTTACAAGCGTAATTTTTGTACAAATTTACTTCAGATATCATACCAGAATCTTGCTCTTGACTGCTAGTGGTTATTTTAACTAACTTTTTTTCCCCTAAAAAACAGGGAAGTTCTCACCAGTGAAGGAACATGAGAGGTCTCTTTCGCAAAACGATGAACACAGTGTCAACGAGTTCAAAGATCTTGGACACTATGAAGAGGAACACCCAGTATCCATTCTCGTCTTTGGTGAAATCGTAGGCGTAACAATAGGAATCTGAATAAAAACTTTGATTACAAAAATTTAATAGAAATTAAGTGATTACAAAAAATTGATAGAAATTAAGAAGAAACTGTAGCTCATCCTAAATCAAAGGATGCTCGGATAGCAAGCCACATGAAAATGTAAAAGTTTCTTTTCTTTGTTTACTGTAATGCGAGATTCATTCGCAAGGAAGAATTTAGTTGCAAGCTTTATCCCTTTTTTCAATTTTTATTCGTCAACACATCTGCTCGTAGATACATACGTATGCAGCAAAAATTTTGTAATGAGATTTTGTGAAGAAAATTCAAATTTTTTCCAAGTCTTTCCCATCAATTTTATATGTAGAGCATAAACTGTTGAACTGAGATTGCATTCGATATACCCTTTGATTCAACAGGACTGGCGGCTGGAAGGAGACCGCCCGCACTCGCGACGCATTCTCCGTCTCCCTTGTGCGCCTGCTATCTGATCACTCTCTAGCCTTGATATTGCCGCGTAGCCCGCTTCCAGTCGCCAATCCCGTTAAATCGGATAGCTTTACTTTAATTTGGCATCAGCTTCATACATTCAATTAGTGCAGAAGTTATCGCTGTTTGAACTTACACGCAAATCCCGTAATAAAGTAATAAGCATATAATTCAACCATCGACGCAGAATTCCCTTCTGTTTCCAATAGCTTTGTTCCCAATGCGGCTTTTCCAATGTACGCTGAGATAGTCGCGAACTTATGACCCTATATTCTTATCTCCTCCCATTTCCAAAACTCTTACTTGAGGCTTTTGAGTAAGCTTTAGAATTCAGCAAATGATGCATTTTTGCAAATCAACGTGACTTTTGGCGGCGCCGCGTTATGGAGCAAAGCTACGCCGCATTTGCCTGTGGTATATCCTGAGGGCCCATTGCGTTGCGTCGCTCCTAATTGCAGTCGCAGAGGAGCTAGCGCTACCGAGCGAATTGAGCCATTTTCCTCACTCTCCACAGATAAAGAGGTCAAAATGTGAATGATAAAGGGCGAATCAAATATAGAGTATGAGGAGGAAGAGTCTGCAAAGCAAGCCAAGAGAAAGTAAAAGATGAGTGAGTTAATTTCTCTTGGAAACTCATGACGGAAAATTTCTATCCTTTTTCTTTACTAATCCTCGTGTTCCACTTCTCTTGAACATTTTTAGCTCAAATCAAGCATTGGATTCTCAGATTCAGCCTTTCATTCATCCCTAGATTCATTTATTTTTCAGTTTTCTAAACTGCCGTCTTCTTTGTTTTCCTAATGGCATCTATACAGTTTCGACATATCAGGTCGTAGTAATAGGGAATGGCTCGCTACTCCTGCGCAATTAAGAGCGACGCAAGGCAAATGGCCCTCAGGATATACCGCAGGGAAATGCGGCGTAGCTTTGCTCCATAACGCTTGCCCCCCGTGACTTTTTGATTCTCAAGCTTGTTTTTAGAATTTCAAGAATAGATTTTCCAAGTGACCAAGTTTTATATTCGGTCTATTCTAATCTCGTAGGACATGAAGGGAAACTGAGGTACCCTTTGATTCGGCTAGCTTGGCAGCTGGAAGGCGGGGCTTCGTGACCCAGTTAAGGCTAGATAATGATCAAAGAGCAGACGCCCGAGAGAGACGTAGACTGCGTCGCGGGGGCGAGTGGCATCAAATGGGTCACAAAGCCCCGCCTTCCAAACGCCAATCAAAGGTTATCCTTTAATGCAACTTTCTTCCATGATGATCACGTGTTACAACTTCAGTAATCTGAATTATGCAATGCGTGCACCTATGTGTTACGCAATTTGATTTAAAAGCTTTAAAAATTATTTAAAGGCAAGGCCCACCCAAAATTGTGCCTCCCATGTTTTTGCCATTCCGGGGCCTTTCTGTGGCCCTGATTACAGTTATGAAGTTAAAATTCTCCAAAACCTCCAAAAAGCACGATTTCTGAGAACCCGTCTTGAGGGCGCGGACGGATTTCAGTACATGGGTGGGCGGAATCTGACAGGATCTAGGCGGGGTCTGATAGCACTTTGACTGTTCCAGGCCTGATATTCCCATTTAGGGACAACATTAGAGAACCGGACCAACGCAGATGCCTCTCTACTGGAGCCTAAATTCAGGATCGACACTAATCGAAGGGGGTTAGATATATCCTGGATACTGCCTTCAAGAAAGTAGGAGGAAGCTGGAGGAAGATGTGAAACTGCTTATTTGCCAAATTTGCCCAATCTCTGGCGATCAAAGATCCTCTAAAAGTCTCAAAATTAATTCTAAATATCAGGGAAAGCTTTAGGAAAGTATTTGTTTGCTTTTTACTTGTTCTACCCTGCTCTCCTAACATTGCTATGAATGCGCTTCCTCTTCCTGATTTTCGCTATAAATAAAACCACGCCTAGTAATGTCGCTTCGTCCATCGCACCACATGGGGAAAAAGTCGAGGACATCAAAGACATAAAGGCCGCCAATCGCATTACAGAGATTAGATAACCGTGCGCGCTAAGTCGACCTTGAACCATTGATGCAACACTTCAATGTTGCGATTTGTAGAAAAGCCAATATTGAACGATTGGAAAATGTGGATAACTCACTTTGCCAGCCTTTGTTGACGATTGTATTGAAGAATTCAGGCGTGAGCTTGATCGTTCCTATGATGGAAAATGTGGCTAGGAAAAGGTTCCAGATGTTGAGGGGTACGAATAGTGAGAATGGCTGCCGGTTACGCATTAGGTATTTCAGACCGAAGACCACGCAAACGTAGACGATAGAGAGCTGAAACATGGAAATTGAAAAATATAGCATTCAATACTTCGAAGATCAGAGGTGAGAGTATCGATTTTTTTGATGATCTGACGATTCCTAACTTTCAAATGCTTAGTTATATTTACCTGGATAGTAACCATGAAATGGTCGTTAACCCATTTCCTTCCTTCCTTGTCTGGGAAATTTTTTCCACCATGTGTTACCAAAGCGAGGAAGCGATCTGTGTCGAAGGACACATTCAACAAACGCTGGACCATCGGATGCTCCATTTTACCTGATGAAATGAATTTTAGGGAGATTCAATAAATTTGCTCTGACACAGGTACGAGTGAAAAATACTCTAGGCGATTGTAATTGGAACTTTATTTGTTTAAACTGTTGATGCGGATAGCAAATTTCGTAAATGAGATGAAGGAAGAACAAAGAAGAACGAATAACGACGCGAAAATGAACGAACGACAAAAATTAGAATATCCTCATATTTCAGCCAAAGTTGAATTTCCTTGAAACGAAAAAAAAATGACAATCAATTTTCTATTGTTTTTCCACTCTTAAACTGTCACTCTTAAAATATTTCAAAATGGAATTCCCGAAATTCTGTCCCCCTTCAGAGAATTATCAATGATGTCGCAAGGTACAGTTAGTTTGAAGTTGAAAATACGACCGTTTACTTAGGGCAATGAATATGAATGAAGTCATATGAAGAGCTTTCTTGAAAATGAAGGAAAATGATTGTTCTAAAAAAATTAGGCTGTCTGGTGGGTCAGACTGGATATTATACATGAAGCTGAACTAAATCTACTACAAGCGAGTTCAGTCAGTTAAACTGCTCATAAGTAAATCAAAGTCAATTTCCAAGAAAAAAGCAGCATGTGTCTTGCTGTGCTTTTCGCATTGGGTGGCACCCAAACTCAAAAAAGGAACATTCTAGTTTTGTCCGAAAAAGAACGGTGTGGCGTATGGCACCACCACGCTTGGAAGCGATAAGGGAGGCGTTGCGATAGTGAAAATTCCGACTGCCCGAAAAGTTCTTTCATAAACATGGAAGTCGTAAAGTTTGAGGCTGGAACGAACAGAGGGCTCAAAGCTATGGGACCTAATTATGAGCCAGAATTTGGGAGCAGTATTTGTATCAAATCTCCAGCTATAATTTGGAGAAAAGGCTCCTCACGAAAGTTGAGATGAAGCACCGACCTGCACGATCACACCACAAATGAATGAATAAGGTAGCTAAATATACCAATCTGTTTGTGAATTTAAGATGATAAGGGGTGCAATAGTAGGATGATAAGGAAAACGTAAGAACTGCTTATGGTTAGGTCCAGTTTCAGAGAGCAGAGAGGAGAAAGGTCTCCAAAAGGTAGTCCAAAGTATTATAACAAAGACGTTTTCATAATGGGGATCATATTGCTGCAGTTGTTTTTTGGATTTAGCATATAAATGAAGATTATACCTCTTTTAAGAATAACCAAACCCAAAAGTGCAAAATCAGTGCAAATCATTGCACTGCCTCCACCGGAGACCTTGTCAGAGATCGAAATAAAACCAGCATATTGAGAAGAATTGCAGAGGCTGACAAATGCCTTTGTTTTCAGTTGTGATGGGAGAATTCAATGTTTTCAATGTGCTAGTGAATCATAAGGAATTGCTTTTATTCTTAAGTGCAGGGAGCATTCTTTTCAGAAAATTTTTTCTTATAGTTTTGACTATTCATCTATTTCTCTAGAAACTCTTGGGATTCAGACTTAGTTGGAATAGTTACTTCAGTGAGAAAGGCGACAGCAACTCTTGAAGGTAAAAGTTAGTTAAAGTTAGAAGACAAGGAACTGAAGGCATTTTACCGTGTAGATCCAACTAGTGTTTCTAGGAAATGGAACTACAGGATTGCTTGACTACCAAGCGAAAGAAATGTAGACTGATGCCAAGATGGACGATTAGATGAAGAGATGAAGTGGTAATCTGTCCTGCGGTGGAGTTTATCAGCCATTGGCACATTCTCGACCTACTAACCTAGTATTCGGATACTCATCCTTTGATGTGCTGCCTTATCTGTCAAGGTTTACTGGGTTGTTTTTTAGACAAACGAGCAGAATCGAATATATCTGGACACATTTCTATCTGATTCAATGACACTGAGTGGGAATAAAAATTCAGCTGCATTTGAGAGAAGTTTCTCAAAATTTTCCATTTTGAAAAATGTGTGGATTTGTTTTTCAAATGATTTGTCTTTTGAATATATACATGTCACACTCAAAAAATAAAAGGTGCAAATTTTGAATTTTACAAAAATTCTTCAGAATTCTCTTGGATGAATTTCTAGTTTCGATATTGAAAGGCTTCGACTTTGAAATTGTCTTCGTGTTAGCATGGTGCTCTTAGAAATTCATGCAAAATTGACGAAGAAAGACGGAGTTTTCAGAAAATAGAGAAAAAAGAAGTAACACCTTTACAGAATTTCACATATATTGTAACTGAATGTCCTATTTTCCCTTCCCTTCAAAAATAATAGGTGATTTTGCCAAAAGTTACTAGAGCTCTTCAGACGATGACGAAGAAACGGTAACGAAACTTACATTGTTTGATTTTACGTAACACTTCGTCTTAAGGAAGAAATTTCGGCACGAAAAAAAAGAACTATGCAAGGAAAAAGTTGATATATCACAATTTTTTTTAGGATTTCAGCAAAAAACGACGTGCATCGACGACGCAAAGGAGCCAACAAGTGGTCGACAGCCCATCGCCTGATTTTTGTCGATGAGGACCCGCATGACGACCTCAGTTCAAATTTCTCTCCCTTTCTCCGCAATGCCGGACAACTGCAACCAGCCATTGATTTTTTGCAGTCGAGTACATGTGTACCTAACACTTACAGATCTTTTTTCGCATCTTTTTAGCAGGTAGATTGCAGCAATTTGCAGGCGAAAAGCTGACGCTATGAAACGTTGTCAATCCTGATCCCGCTCAGAGATAATGAGGAACCTTTTTTGATTTAGCAACTCTGAAAGCTCATAGCCAAATTTGTAAATGATATGGTTGCAGTAGCGAGCCAAGAAAATATGTATCTCTTGCAGCTTTTTTTTCATAAAAGAAACACATCACATTGACGCATTAGGGGCTTAAGATAAGTCATGATCTTATTGAATGACATGTTACGTGAAATTTGAGGTAAAATGCAACATCTAAAAACAACGCGTTCAGATTTTGATTCTTGCGATATCGAGGAAAATAACTCAATCGATGGATGGAGCAACAATTTGCACTTTTGACTATATTTTCCCATCAACATTTGATTTATAAAAAGTTCACGTGATCGTTACCCTACAACTAAAAAACTTTGTATTTTATAGCTGTGAGAAGCGAGTGTTTAAGAGAGGAATAATAGAAATTTGTTTTGTATTTGATAGAACAACTCTCGAGAAGACAAGTTCATATCTCTACTCTATTCTATTCAGTTTCTTATAAAGTAAACAGTAGAGTGCAACTCCGCGTTTCCTCTATGTACTCCCCTTCTATTCTTATTGAAACGATTGAGCGAAAATTTTATGTTAATTTTTACTAGAGATTTTTTGTCAATGAAAAGGGGTCTTCTTCCCCCCTCCCCCACGTGGTCGCGAATTTTGATCTTCATATCACTTTTCTAATCATTTGTCTTCTCTCACTGTGAGCTGTGCAAATAAGTCCTTTGACAAGTTTTTCCTTCTTTTTCGTCAGTGTTCGAAACTTACAAAAAATCTGGACAATGTCCAGAAATTTTTTGGGGGGTCGTCGTAAGCGTAACGACTGTCCAATGGAGATCTGTCGCAGTCCTTTTTCCTTGAAAATTCTCTCGGACCGCAACTTCCCGCGTATTCTTCGGCGCCGAATACTTTAGCAATTCAAACATTGAAGTTATTTTCTGTGAACTAGTGAACCAGTAATTGAAGGTGCTAGTAGCATGCGCGCGCTTCGGGACCGCCATGCGGTTTCCCGCTATTTGCACATTTTTGAATTGTGCTTACGTTTTTTTATGTATTAGAAGAAAAATAAAATTCTATCAACGATGTCAAAATAGGTTGTTACCAGCGGTGAACCCAGCATTTCCGTTCGGGAGGGGCGGGGGGAGGGGGGAGGGGGACAAAAAATTTTTCAGATGATGGTGCGTGGCCTTAGCCACGCCCACAAAATTTTTTGGGATGCTTCCTGAAATTTTTGCGGGCCCCTGACCCTGAAATTTCAAAAAGGGGGGCGTGGCGTCTGTTTACAGGGCTAATTTGAATTTTTAAAACCATTTAAAATTATTTTAATTATTGACAAGTAAAAAGATGTCGCTTGCATATTTTTATAACACATCTAAGTAACTTTCAAAACGCCTCTCCCTCGGTACGTCACTAAACTTTCGACGTCTCAAAAATCGGCAAAGTTTCTTGGCATGAAGGAGGAATGAAGGGTTATTCATTGGCATCAATTTCGCTTTTAAAGACATGAGCAATTTGAATAATTGCATAATAATTGCAATCCTGTGACAGCAGCTCGGCTTCCATTTCTTCTCTAATTTTCAAAATTCTCTCATGATTCTCTTTCATTTTTTAAATTATTCGTGGACCGGAACATCAGAGTAATACCAAGTCAGTTCAAAAGCTCAAGCTTTCTAATAACGCAAATTAAAAATTGCAAATTAAAAGCTGGCCTAAATTCGGAAAAATTTCAGAAAATAAAAAAATCGTATTCTTCATGTGTGACATGTATATAGCAAGAAAACATTCCAAAAATTTGGATGTAAAAAAAATCTTTTGAGGAAGGTATGAAGACTGTCGAATGTAACTCAAAGATTCATAAAAATCAGCGTAAAATTAGGAATGGCTAGCAACAAACATAAAGACAATTTATCACTGAATCACATATGTAAGTACGACTTGAGCAACATGGCGAAAGAACTCTACAAGACCAAAATACACGTAGCAAGAAAATTAAGAGGTTAGTGGTACATACATAGTAAGAATATTCTTCTACGTTCTCAATAGTAAGAACCACTACTAGCCCGATCTATGTGTATCGTTGGAATTTGTGGTACTGACAGTGATCGTACCGACCTTGTCGTGGCATTTGAAGGATATCGGGTTTCCTGAAAAAAATTTTTGCGGGTTGATGGATTAAGAGGTAAGTTTGAGAGGAAACTTACGACTTGACGCAGTTGAGGTCGTGGCCGTACTCGTTCCGTAATTATACTGTGAGAAACGACATCTGAAGGTGATCTGACGCGCTGACTTGTGTCACTTTTTTTCGAGCTTGCTGAGCTGCATAGATATGCCTAAATTTCTGGCTTATAAAGAGAATGTTCGGCTAATTCTTAACTTTTGTAAAACATACACAAGCTCCCAAAAGCATTGCAATAATCAAAGTTGCGAACATGATCGCAGCAGCGAGTAGCCCTGAAACTATGATAGTAATAACCAATCTCACATTTAAGACTTCCCTGAGTTCTTTTGGCTCCCGAACAGACCGACAAAAGATTAGAGGAGAGATAAAAGAGGAGGAATGAGGACTAGAATGGCGTTTAATTTGCTCTTTTTTCTAAAAAATCACACATCACAACCAATTAAACCAATTCAAAATTGTCCTATCTCATTTAATTTTCTCAAAACTTCTAAGCTTTTCATTTGGAAGCAAATTACGTTTTAACGGGGCTAGATTTCATTTTTTAAAACAATTACGCATGTTCAAGGCTTTATTCATGACTGGGTATCGTATAAAAAATTTGAAAGAATTATTGGGTTTACCCAGCGGCAAAGTGTGATTATTGACAAATTCGGGAAAAATTTCAAAGGTGTTCTGTTACGAAATCATAAAACTTTTAATGTATACCTTTGATATTTCAAAACCTACGTGAGACCCTTCATGTTGTATTAATTCAGTTGAAAATTAGAGTAGACAAATAAAATAATGTTATGCAACTTAGAAATTTTCTCAAGACATTCTTGGTGATGAATGGTACAAAACGGATGCAGAAATCGGCTAAAAACTGACAGGTAAATTTTTTCAAACTAAATTTAAATTCTAAACAAACAGAAACTTTTCGTAGCTTTCAATTTTTTAAATTTTTTTACATCTGGATTCGGTACTTCTTTCGGGTCTTACTTAGTATAATCTTAAAGGAAAGAGAAATTAAATTCTGGATTTATCAACTGCACACAACATTCTCGACTGTGATCCCGATATCAGCTGTGAAAATTCTTCCACTCACCCCAAAATAGCATTCTTGTTGTGCTGGATACTACCCGATCAGCCACTTGATGTGCGAACCAGGTCTGTGGCTCTGCGCGATAATGATTTCCATTTAAGGAAAATTCTAGACTCGAATTGACCTAAAAATCACGTTAATATGATAATTTTATTATCTACTATACAACTTACTGCCTCAGAAATATTCTTGGCGATGGCTCTGGCCTGGGCATCTTTAACGGTGAAACGAGCAGTGTTGTCATCCAAAATTTTGACGTGATCGATTGAACTTTTAGAGAGTGAAAAACGCTCAGACAGAAAATCGGCCAGTGAACTGAAAATTAGTTGTATTCCTGATCTTCCCTGAGGAAATTTAGGGAAATCTCACTCTTGGGCCCGTTTTCTTGCAGTTACCGGAATTTGTGGTCCAGTCAAAGAAAAACCCAGCTCGTATATCTCGATGCTATCAGTTGCATCATCGTTATAAGCAGTGAAAAAATCAGAAGAAACACCTGAAAGTGCCAGTTTTGAGACAAAAATATGAAAAAGGAAAAGGATATAATCATAATAATTGTGAAAATAGCAAACCTTCGCAAAATTTTTCGCAGTCTTCATTGGTGGCGAAATTATTTAGGTTTCCTGCGCAGCCTCCATATTGGAATTGCGTACAGCTCTGGTTCAAAGGAGAGTAAAAATATCTGTGTAAAGTAACAGAACATGGTCCACGATCAGGTTGAAGGTTGCAGACATGTCCTGAAATACCTTTTCATTGCCTTTACTGCCTTTTTTTAATGAGAAATGAGAAAGCGACTCACGTTTTGAAACACAGCAGATACCATCTTTGTCTCCAGGCTTTTTTAGACAGTAGTGAGTGGCGGGGCAGCTAAAATGGAAGGAAGAAAATTGAGAAAAAATGTGATATTTGTACTTAAATCTGACCCATTAATTTTGGCCGAGCAGGTCAGTGGCGTTCCATCGGACGAACTGGCAAAAGGATCCCCATGTGGGCAACTGGATGATTTTTTCGTGACCAATGGTTCTGAAAATATCAGGAGAATCAATTTGAGAAATATAAGCTTTGAGCCACATAATAAACAGACCTCTTCCCGGACAACATACTCCTTCTCCATCTGGGTCAAAACCAGTGCAGTAAAACCCTGTTGGACAGATTTCGCCAGATTCGCGACATGAAAATTGCTTCTTTGTCCTGGGATCCATAGCTGGCCGATGGCCACCGTTACAGGGAGAGCTTTCACCTAGAAACGTCAATAATTATATTCTCAATGTGAACTCTGAAAAGGAAAATTACATGAAGGAACTGGAATGCAGTTAGCCGAAGAGCAGCTCGGAATCCGCAGAAGACAAATCTGAAAAATTCGTTATTATTTGACTTATTTCTTTACGTTGCAGATGCGTAAAAACACAGAAGATTACAAAAACATAAGTGCAATATACTGATCATTTGAGATTTTATAGTGATTATTTGGGATACTTAAATCTTTTGTGAATTGTGGTGTGACTCACCTCTCCAGCTTTACAGCTCACTGAATCACATGGTGAAGCACAGTCACAGTCCACATAAGGACAACCATTACGATCTAGAGCAAGTCCGTAAGGACACAAGTCCTGTGGGCACTGCCTTGGGCAAACATGCGGGGCTAAACATCACCATCTTATTTGGTCAATTTTTATGCATAATTTTGACCTACCTTCACAAACATTCTGCCCTACAGATTTCTCTTTTCTGGTTCCTGGCAGTTCCCTGCCATTTTCAGGGTCTACACACCAGCAAACACCAAAGCTATTGCATTGGATTCGGGCGAAAAGCCCTGGAAAAATGGATAATGATTCAGGAGCTTGTAAAGAAAAATGCATTCCACTTTAGGTTCGAAGATTTCCAGATTCGTAGTATAAAGTTCGAAATGTAAGTTTTTTCAACTTCATCTGTTTTTTCCCATCTGAATGAGGATTTTCAGCTTACATCGGAAAAATATTGGGTTGTTTCAAAAGTTCTACCCGTTTTCGAACTTTGAGTTTGATTCACCGTAACTCTTGTCAGAAATAATCTTTGCAATTGTTATAAACTGTGTCACAATCTGCAAATCTTTGGCTATTCTGCACACTCTTTAAGATTATTGCAGTAACAGTGGAGAAGATGTTATAGGCGAAAATCGAGGAAATCCCTTGTAGAAACCTTCACTTTGCAAAAGCATAACTCAATTTGATATATAGCTGAGTTGCACAAACACTGCTCACAGTGTAGCCCATAGTCGACTAAGCAGTACCGCTAACTTTCAATTTCATCAAACTCTTTCATAAAAATTTTTGCTGAAAAATCCGAAAGGACCCACTTATTTTGCTCTTTCTGAGAAGGCAAAAAATGCAATTTTTGACATTTTGGATTTTGTTCGCCGTTGACAAACCAGGAAATCTTTTCGTTCTTCTAGTAGCAGTTGTTCTAGCTCTAATCTTACTATATAGAGAGAAAGTTCCGCGATTGCAATATGTTTATGATTTTTATGCGACTTGAAGCGACCATAAAGACAGGTTATGTTTGAGCTAAAAATTTGTAGGTTTGATTTTTCTGAAATCATATCTCGATGGGCGTTTCGTAGCACAAGTCTCCAGCAAGCATTATGTATGTTTCAAAAGAAATTTTTTCTTTTGGCTGTAGATTTCACGGCGATAGAGCAAAGACGAAAATTTTCACATTCGTTTCGCGGTCTTTACGGTCTCGGTACGCAACCACACCGCAAACAAAAAGATCTATGAAAACGAAAATATGCCTGAAAAACTAGGAGAAAAGAGCTTATAAATGATATAAGCATTGTTATAAAAAATGTTTCTTCCTCTAAAATTGGCAGTTCAAAAAAAGGTGTCGGAAACGGGTAGACCTTTTGAAACAACCCAAATCTCAATTCTTCAAGAAAGAAAGGTAGGTTTATGCCCTTCCATTCAATTTTGGTTCTTCTCATATTCTCTCCTCATCTTGAAAGACTTTTTGGTTCCTCTCATTTCTTTCCCCATTCTTCTATATAATAAGGAACTCACCCGTATTTATATCACAAGCTGGTTGATGTACACCCCGTACTCCGTGCCTCTGAAGTTCTTCAACCGCGATTTGGTAGAGCAGACAATCTAAGAATTTTTTCATCGACTGCAAAATAAGCAAAAAATTGATTCAGGTCCTACTTGATCTTTTATTAAGATGATGAGCGACTGTGGTGGTCTCCGTCATCTGACAGCACACTCCAAGCTCTTCCCCTACCGCAGTCATACATTCTCCTTTGGGACAGCTATCGCTACGGCAGGAAAAGGCATTGCCATACAAATCCGTAACAATATTTTTAGACTGACATGGTGAAGCAACGCCTAAACAAATTGTTACAAAAGTTTTCTAGAGGATCTTGCATCAAAAAGTTACATCTTGGCACAGGAGGACACGGCTCTCGGTCGCATTTGACAGCCACCAACGCGCAGGTTTTGTGTGCAGGACAGTCAAAATCCTGGAAAATTGAATTTTGCACAGACTCTCAGTTAATTTTATTTGTACTTACGTCACAAGGATTTCTACACAAACAAACACCATCATGTGGACAACCATTTGCATCTAACTGTACGCCATAAGTACAAGATGACTGAGAACAAGTTACGGAACAGATTTTCGGAGCTGAAAATTCTCGTTTTTTTTTCAGATAACACCAATGTGGCACCACGACTGAGCAGATATGGAAAAAACTTACTTTTGCATGATGGCAGCTCATTATGACCAGCAGTTCTCGTTCCAATTACCTCAACTCCAGTATCATCAACGCACCAGCATTGCCTAAATAGGCTGTTCTTCAAAGCAGTACGATAAATTACTTCTTCCACATTTTGATTTGGTGTTCTAAAGGCAGAAGATAGTGCTTTGCTGAAAGCTACATTGAAATTGGACGAACAATCAACATACTAGGTTGGTTCATGAGTACTGCACCAAACTACTTTCAAAAGATCGTGCTTCCATAACAAGTTCGTTTGATATTATGTAGTTTAGCGAAAAAAAATCATGCACTTTTTCAAATGCTACAAGTAAATTACCATATTGGCATTTTAAAGAATTACACGCTGATAAGTAAAAGCAGTCAAACAGGGCTCGGCACTATCAGCGTGTAATTCTTTAACGAGGTGGCTAGTTGAAAATGCAAAAAACAAAGTCCTCCTTAACTTTCGCGAATTTTTACGAAATACCCTTTGATCCTAAACCCTAAACGTGAATAACCTTTGCAAAATAAACTTCGACTCAAACTTCACAATTTTTGTGTCTTTCTAGCCTCAAAAACGATACCCCTTTGTTTTTTGTCCCAAAGAGTCCAGCTTACTTACAAGCCACCTGTGCCGAGCCCTACAGTCAGATTCTGTGAAGTTTGCTCGCTGGAAATGCTGAAAGGCCCAACCAATTGCGGTTTTTACTTTCCAGCTAACACATTCGTGAGCTAATTGAGCAACGTTTTCTTGGATTATACAATTGTTTTTACGGATTGATGCAGGAAAAAAGCTTCTGGATTAGAAAAAGAAGACTAACTTAGTCGTAAAGTCGCATTGCGTTTCTCGGAAATCCCCATTAGGTAGGCATTGCACAGGTGGAGGTATGCTTGGCCACTCTTTGGTAAAAGCGGCCAGTCGATGTAAGCATGGACTTGTGACCTAAATCACTTCATTCTTCTCTCTATTCTAGAAACGGTAGCCAAGGGTCAAAAAATCAAATTATTTCTTGGTCCGAAAAAAAACTAGACTTACCGCTGGCTCCACACACTTCGTTCCACAACTAGCTTTACAACACTTTGAAAACGCTACACAATCAGTATCAGAAAGACATTCTTCTTGACATCCTGGATTCAAAAGGACTGACGGGCAAGCGCCGATCTTCTGTGGGGTCGAAATTAGGCCTATATGATCAAAGAATGTTCAGGAAAAGTCAGGGTCCACGGATAGTAAGGAGCTTACCATTCTTTGGGAAAGCACCTACTGCCGTGGAACTACCAATAACACCAACAGCAGATGTGGAAAGTTCGGGAACGATGGGGTGCTTCTGAAAAATTTTTACGAAAATGGAGAATGGAAAGTCCATTACTGAGCTGTAGGTATTCTTGCTAGAAGTATTTTGAATAGGAAACCTGGAAGGACTAACCTTTCGAGGCCCCACAACATTCGATTGTCCTATTGGTTGGTTGTTTACAGTCACGTCGACAGGCTTGGCATCCACAGACGGCGTCGCAATCTTTTTGTAAATAGGCTGAATATGTGGTCTGCCGTCAATGGACACCACCACTGGCTTTGTTAGGGTAGCTGCCGAAGTGACCGATATTGGCGCTCCAGTGATAGTCAAAGATTTTCCTGTGGTTCAATGGTTAGGATAGATTAAGGCGCAAACTGTTTGACCTACCAGTCTCGAACTGGCAGCTGGTTCCACAACCGTTGAAGCAGCAAACTGAATGGGAGCAATCGGTAGCTCGACGACAAGCGACGACGCAGGAAGATCCGTCTACGGGATTTGCTGTTATCGGAAGAGCTGGGCAAGACATGGGTGTTACGGTTAGGGCTGCAAGGAGTAAGGTAATCCAAGGTATTCACGCAAAACTGATAGGTTGGTCCATAAGTCTTGCACTAAAGAATATTAAAAATTCCAAAAATGTAAAAGGGGTGCTACAAGCTATATCACTTATTTATTTATTATAACATAAACTGTTCTATTTCACTATGTGTATTAAAGATTTTACTCGAAATAAAGTGCTTAGAAATGTCAATATAAAGAGTCGAAAATCATGACTGTTTAATAGAAGCGAGCACAAAATTTTATCTGCTAGAAAGAGTAGGTCCTAGACATAACCTAAACCAAATTTTCTTGGAGCTATGAGCATTCTTAGCAATCAAATTTGAAAAATTATAAATTGAGTTTTTTCTTTATCAGCTTGAATCATCGTGAGTGTAATCAATGATTTTTCTTTGAAACCCCCCAGAAAATGCAAGATTTCAACTTTTTGAATCATATTTGCGTGAGCGAACTATTTGAGAACAGAGAAAAACAGAATTTTTTGAGATTTTAGTACTTATGGACCAAACTAATAGATTAAGAATTGACCTGCTCCAGGGCAACAAATTCCTCTTCCTTCGTATCCATTCTGGCTACAATAGTAACCAGCAGGGCATAGATTGTGTTCACTGCACCCTGCCATAGTCCAAGTTCCCGGAGTGACCAGGGGTTCCCCAGATGGGCAAGAATTGGGTACGCCTAAGAATGGATTAAAAAAAAGATTTGATAACGGTAATTATTCTTCAAATTTCTTCCATCGTAGCTAATTGGCCAAAAATCAGGCCCTCTTGAACCGTTCGCGCTAGGCTCTAGTTTCGTCGCGTGCGGTGTCGCTAAACTGAACGAGTTACCCCACTCAAAAAAGCATCATGTTCATGGCTTGTATGAACTCGTGGCAACACATATCGTCCTGAGTGACATGTTAGATGTACAAAAGTGAATCAACATGCTACGCAAAACTTGTTCGGCTCAACGTCCTTGCTCCGCCCCGCTCAAATCCTGGCCAATGGCAGCAGACCCGGTGACCATTCAGAGGCTAGCCGCTTTAACCGGTTCAAAAGGGCCTTTCCACAAAATTCTTACATCTCGGAATAGCTTCACACTCTTTTGTGTAACAATGCGGTTGTACCATACGGCACACGAACCCGGCCTGGCATTGTACCAGCTCGCAAGGCATGATACAGTCGCATACAGGACAACCATCATTGTCTGTACGTTGCCTTGAACAGGAAGAATAACTCGAGGTAGATGCAGGGTAGGAATGGTATATGGTATCCGATCTTACCCAAATGGACAACGTTTGTTACAGGCATGAACGGGACATGACCTTGGTAGCTTGCAGTTCGGTTTACCCGTAGATTTCGTGCCTAAATCCACTGTAAGTCAAGAATGTCTTGCAAGTAAGAAGTCTATGATTTAGCTACCTGGAATTTCCTTTCCAAACTTGTTTACACACCATTTCACGGAGAAATGGCTTTGGATCGGTTGGTAATCACCATTCGCATCGCATTCGGGCACAAAGCCACCACCGCCGATGTCGCGCATTGCCAGAGCAGCCAAACGAGCATGAATACCTAAAGCCAGCATTATCCTTCAAACAACCACGGAAATCAAGGCTCATTTATAGGAGCTTAAATTTAAGTATCACTTTAATCTATACATATGAAATTAATTTATTTTATCACTGATTTTTGCGGAATAACGAAAGTTAGAAGGATTACGCTACCACCAGAGTTGAGGGTACCAAAGCCGTGCCAGCGCCGTGCCCGCCTTTGTGCCACGTGGAACAAGTGTGCGCGCCCAGCGATCGACCTCCGGCGCGGCGCTAGCACGGCGCTGGCAGGGAGTTGGAATGACACTGGCTTGGCGTTGACAGCCGCACTTTGGACGTAGCCTTATGAGTGTAAATTACACACAATCGTAAATTGTACGAAGATAGAATCAAAGGTATGGAAATAATATTGATTACATAAGGTTTGTCACAGAAAAAGCATGCAGTCACAAAGGGGCGTACTGGGATCGAACGAGTATGAGTTTGACTAAATGCGTTGGATGGAGAAGTATTGGAGTTCGGGTAAACTTACAATGGGTAGTAACGTCTGGTAAAGAACAGCGACGAACACATCCATCATTACAGCATTTCTTCAGTGAAGGACAGTCGGAGTCGACAGAACATTCGGATTCTTTTGACCTAAACGAGATACATTAATAGCGCCTATAGGGCTCATAAAAGTTCTTTCTCTCACCTCTGTACGCAAAAAGCTCCCAATGGCTTGGTCTCTAAGCATTCTCCAATGTGCACAGATAAATCTGATGGAGCAGAAAAGACTAAAAATAGAAATGTTATTTGTGAGATGGTAAGGTTAACTCTTACCAGCAGCAACGCATGCCATACCGCAACCGTTAAAGCAGCATTTTTGGCCAGATGCACATTCTTCGTCTAGGAGACAATGTCTGGTGCAATCACCATTTGCCAATATTCCTTGTGGGCAAGTCCCTGGTGACCAATTCGGTTCTGGAAGAAAATTTTCATCAAAATTGCTAATTCCTCAATAAAAAACTTACCATGCCCAGGACAACAGATCCCGCCATCACTCTTGTACTGGCTACAGTAACCAGGATGATGTGATCCTAAAATCGATATTTTTCGATTGTATCAAATGATAACTATGAGCATATTAAACGCCAGGGAAACTCACCAGCACATTCGCTGCTATCAGAACAATTGATATGTTGAGCTGTTGAGATGTCAGTCAATGGAACTCCATCTCGGCATGGATTCACCACGCATCGCGGGACCTAAAAAAAACAAATGTGTGTAAAAAGGAATAGCTCAAGAGGAAAGTGTGACAGAAAAGTCGGCGTTCCTGGCAAGGTAAAACAGTAAAAAACCACCTACCTCGGGACACGGTCCTGCTAGACAATCCACGGGAGCTGGCACGCATACAGAATCATCTGGACAAGTAACTCCCTAGAAATTTTTTTGGAGGTTAACACGTTCAAAATTTAATGAAACGATCATTTTTGATTTTTGAGCTGACAATCAATTCTGCTTGTTTAATAATTAGGGAACAAAATGTAAATAAGAATAAAACGGAATAAAACAAATCTGACAGAGAAGGGTAGACGGTGAGCAATTTTCCAAAAAATAGAAAATTTAAACCCTTAGGATTACGAGTTTTGTTATGCTCAACTTCTAAAAATTTCTTGGAAATTCTTTTTAAGTTTCAAAACAAGCTTTAGATAATCCTCAGATTTTAGAGCACTAATTACCAGTGGCGGTCTCAGGATTTCGGAGCGGGGCGGGGGGCGGCAAAAATTTTTTTAAAATGAAGGTGCGCGGCGTTAGCCACGCACTCCGGTTTTTGGGGTGCTTCTCGAAATTTTTGAGGGTCCCCGACCCCTAAAATCTGGAATAAGGGGGCATGACGACAGCCACGCCCCCGAAAAATTATTTCTACAAAGCTAATTTGAATTTTCAAAATTTTTTGAAAATTATTTTAATTGTTTACAAGAATAAACGAATCACTTGCGCATTTTTATAACCCATATAAGTAATTTTCAAAAATTTTGCGACCCCATTCCCGTAGGGGGGCGCCCCCCCCCCCCCGCCCATCCCTCGGTCCGCCACTGCTAATTATTTCTATTTAAACTCTGAAGTATGCAGCCAGCTCACATCACAAGGGCTGCTACATTCACAGGTGTCACAGCCATTTGAATCCTTCCTCATACCATATTTGCAAGAGATATCATGTGTACATAGCGGAAGTATGCATTTCCGTGGAGCTAAAATCAAATTGGCAAAGTGACAAGACTTTAAAAGTGTATAATTCACCTCTACAATTAGGAGCTATGTCATCTGATGTCCGTGTTCCTTCCATTTCGACACCAAATTGATTCACACACCAACAGTAATCAGAATCACACTGCACCTCTTCGAAGGATCCATCTATGAACCATGTTTGTTACTTAATTCGTGAATCACCATGAAGTTTTGATCACCTGGTCTGCACTGAATCCTCGACGACTGGCCAATCATTTGCAAAGCAGCTTTTGCTTGCATACAAGCGCTGTTATTCTCGGGGTAGAGACATTTCCTTGTGCATCCATCTGAGCAGCACTTCTGCACTCCGACACAATCCACATCGGTTGTACATTGATGGACGTGACTGGAGATAAGGGGAATCCACTGCTATAGTCAAATGTTATATACAACTTGAAAAGCTTACGGTTGTCCGTTACACTGCCTCTGGTTTAAATAGGGGCAAACGCCGGGCTTAATAACCTCAGGCTTCTTTTCCTCTGCCTCTCCTACTATGGATGATGGAGATGTCTCTGAAAAATAAAGCGTGTTCAAAGTTAATGATCGTCGATAGAATGCTATGCAGTTGACGCGATAAAAATAATGCTCGAAAAAGTGCTGGAAAAGATATTAATTTCAAAATCTTCTAAAGGTGTGCGCAAACTTTCACCTGCACTATAGGCACTCTCCATTTCAAAAATAATAGGTAAGAACATAAGTAATGCGATAAAATTTTCGGAAAATCCGCAAAGAATCTCCACATTCGGTCCCTTCGATATACAATACCGCTCACAGAACGGGCAAAATTTCCGTGAATGCCGCGAAATCCCGGGAATTCCGCGATATTCGGGAATTTTGCACGTCCTGTGAGCAGTATTGTATTAGAAGATATGGACGGCTATATAAGCTAGTTAACAAAAACTCTCAAATTTCCTTTTTGATTTCGTCGATAGAAATACTGGAAGATTCAACAACATCATGACCTACTCTTTTTTCTGAAATAAACCGTGACCGGATCTCTGCGAAATTTTGTGATTTTTGAATTTCTGTTTCCGATTTTTTTGTTCGCATCAAAAAATTTAATTTGCATTATACAACACTACATATTACGTATACACCAGGAAAAATATTCCACAGTTTAACATGTTGCCTGAACATTCAAATTTTCCGCAATTTTTGAACAAGGATCATATTCCAACAGAATACTTCCATGATAATCTGCAATTTACCAACCTTTACACTGCATACCACATCCATCGTAGCAACACTTCTGGCTGGTTGAACAATCATCATCTGCTCGACAATCAAATTTGCAAATATCTGATCTATCCAGCGCTGGAACAGTGGGTGGACACACGCCTTCATGAACAGCTCGAGTAGGATCTGGACAGCAGATTCCCGTGGAAGCGACGCCGACCTCAATTCATTGCTTTACTAAGCGATTTTACAAAAAAAATTCGAAAATATTACTTGGTGGCACCAGTAATGTAATGGACACTGATCTTTAGAGCTGCACGTCTCTACAACTCCTACAGCAGAGATGAATGGCTCTCCACGGGGGCAGAGGTTGAGAACACCTAAATCTTCTGAGATTATGATGAACGAGATGGCAAAGTTCCATAAAGTAATGTGAACTTCTATATGTATGCATACGATAGTTTCTAATGAGTTTTGAAGTTGTAACAACTCTTTCAAGGATCCTCTAAATATTTTCCACAGTAGTTTTTTTGGCAATTTTTCTAAAAGCAAATAAAAATATAAACACAATCAACTTACATCTCGGCTGAGGAGGACAATTCTCTGTTTGGAAACAGCTGACAGCTGTCATGATGCAAAAACTGCCCTGCGGACATTTTACCTGAAAAAATTGGCTTGAATTTTTTTAGGACTAGCTGTTTAATGTAAACCAACCTCTGCGCATGGGTTCTTACACCGACACGATGGGCATCCGTTCGCTTCCTTCTCAAAGTCGTAAGGGCAGGATGTGCGGCAAGTCATCGTAGGGCAAGAGCTCAACTCTGAAGAGCTGGGTAAGAAGGGTTATCAAAAATTATGAACAGGCTCACTTTCACACATAGGTGCGTCACTGACAGTCCTGGTGCCGGGAATCTCTTCACCATTATCTATATCCACGCAAAAACAGCCATCATAGTCGCACTAGAAAGAAAAAGTATGTTTTGAGTTGAAAAAACTATTTTGCTAGTGCAAAATCAGAATAGTTGGTGTCTCTCCTAATTGGGTGGATATTTTTTTTTGAAAAAATTCTGTTTACGATTCATAAAACTCATAATACTAGGAATCTGTCAGCATCGAGCTATTTTTTTTTGACAAAATTGAACGACTCAAAATTCTAGATCTTCGTTTTTAGTAGCAAACAAGAAAGTTAACTGGATTTTCAAACACGCAAGTTCCTTCCAAAAATGGCAGTGAGCATATGAGAAGAGAAGAGGCTAAATATGGAGAAACACACATATTCTAACAATTTCAGAAATATTCTGATATTTCTTTTTTGATTACGTTTCTGGGGCCTTTTTCAGTTACACAGATAATAGTTAAACAGTCAAGATATTAGGCAAATAATATCAGCTATCTTATCATCTTATCATGACGAAATGACGAGAAAAAAGAGAGAATTTTAGCAGAGACGGGTGTCAAAACGTTCTACCTGTATCGGTTCATATTTTCCCGCATGATTGCATCGTTTCAACTTTCGCATTTCATATATTTCGGCTGTAAGAGCTGCATGAAAACAAGCTGAAAAATAAGGACTGTAGCTAAACAACAAAAAGAAATGCAAAGCTATCAAATACGAATTAATCAAAAAAACTCACGAGTGGTCCGCACTGGATATAGACATTGTGTCGAGCATCCTACCCGACAACATCGTTTCATGCCAGAACATTCATCATCAGATTCACAAAGTGAGGAACAATTTGTGATCTTCTCGATGAGAGATTTTTCCATAGATGATGGGCAGTCGGCAGTCAAGGAAGATAGCATACCTAAAAATGCGATTTTTTTTAGTTACCTCATCACTGAGATTTCTCAATTTTTCCCACTGCTTTGCGCTTTTTGGTGTTTTCATCTAGTTATTCCACCATAATTTATTTTTGTACACATAAACATATTTGGTGGCAAAGTAGGCCAACCACAGTAATCCAAGTTATTGAGTGTTTTTCTCTATACCCTTCTCCCATGTGCGCATCTTCCAAAATGTTTTCACGTCGCAAATAACACACCTGCACCTTTTGTGCAAAACGCAAAAACACGAAGGACGTACCTTTATTATGCCGCGCAACGTCTCCCGGTAGAAAGATCATTTTTCTTTGCGATGAAATGGATTTGACTTGCAATTTTGGCGATTCTAACGGATAACAGGTAAGTCCACAACCATCAAAGCAGCATTTCCCTTGAAAAACGAGAAAAATCGATTTGAAGCCGAAAAATCATAGTTGGGCTTACCATTTGCGCAGTCAAGGTCTGTCTTACATGTAGATGAACATCTTGCTTCCTTCAAAGGCATCACAGCTGAGCACTCGGCTCGTTTTGAAATTTTAGGCCCTCCACAGCAAAAACCAAGCCCTCCATAACCAATCTAAAATGAATTAAGCTGACTTTTGTGCTTTGACACTCAGAGCTGAGATTTTCGACGCTATTGTGTGAATCCCCGGATCCATGGTCATGATCGTGGACATAATTCGAGCGGCGAACATTGCGATGCGCGCCTCCACTGCCCTAGGACCGGACTGTTCCCTCCTACACTACGCTAGCCGCAATTATCGACATAATTGGTTCTGTCGCAGTGCGAAACATTGTAGTAACAACAGAAAACTTTTCTTGTGTTCTTCTTAGCGTAAGAGATGTTGCAATGGATTCTAATGTTTGTTTAGCCTTCTTCTCTCCGAGTGGAGGGGAAGGTTCAGCGAGAATCGATTGACGAGGGAGGAGAGCAGGTGAATTTCAAGCTCGTCTGAACCAATTTTTGTATGATTTTTCCACGAACAAAAACTCTCAAGATAGTCTGACAGATTCACTTCGCTTACAATAAGTGGAAATCTTGAAAAGCTGGCGAGGAATCGGGACAGCAAACCCAAGAAGAACAGAGTTTGGATGACAAAAGAAACCTGCAAAAAAAATTAAATCGTTCCTACGATCCCTCACCCAGTCCCTCCTGCGCTCCCATTCTACTTGCCATTCATCATTCTCGCTAGGTTTGTCCAGAAATTTTGGAATCTTCCGGAAGTTTCTCACTTGCTTCATTTTTGATACATAAACAACAATGCGATTAAAAGTAGAAGAACAACAAATAGTGGCAGAAAAATTGAGCCATTGTCACTTTTCTTTCTCGCGATTGCTTAGCACAGGCCTAAAGAAGAAGGAGCGAAATGAAACCAATACGATAACCATGCCAAATCTTATAGCACTATTTGCAAGTAGAAAAAATACAAAAATCGATCGCTATTGATTATGGATCTTCCTAACAGATGATATATTCTTGAAAGTATGATGGCTGCGCTTTCCCAAAAAATATCGTCATGCAAGTATCATACTCAGACCGGGTACTTGCCTTTAAAATGGAGAACCTGAGCTTTTGGACCTGCCTATTGCGAAGATGACAATGAGCTCGCAAAATACTCCTTGTAAGAACTTGCGTATCTATCCATTAGGGGTAAAGAGCTATTGCCCTTTTTGAATGTGTGTAAAAACACTGCTAAATCACACATAAGCACTGCTTTAGCATGTCAAGTACCAATCAAGCTTCAGAACGGATTTTCTCAGTTTTCTCAATTGGCCTGCTCCTTAGCTACTGTATAATAGCTCAAATACATCGCAATCTCCCATCTTTTTGCCTTCCAAAAAGCAGAAAAAACTATTGAAAACACTTCCGACTAGCTCCAAATAGCGACGAGCTTGTTTGCCAGCGCTACCGGTTCTCCACCAAAGCAGATCGAGAATTTGTAGTTTATGAGGGGAAAAGCGAAAGTCGTGAGCGTGTAATGCGCCTCTTAAGAAGTGTCGTCCTCGTTTTTCGAATGAGTGTCGTAGTAGAAGAAGAGGCTATAGTGCACTTGAAGTCAGTGCTCTAGCAAGATTTAGAGCTAAGGATGGCCTGAATTATACCACAAAAATGACAAAAAAATTTAGAAGAGTTAGGAGTTACATATATTAGTCAACATTTACCCACACCACAAATTATGTCTCATTTTGTGCGATACAGCCGTTTAGACACATTTAGGTTTTGATTTTTCACCTATATAACCCCTTCTTCACCAATCTTTCCAAAATATAGCTGGAAATTTTTCTTTTCGACTTCTTATTCATTGCTGCAAATAAAATAATTCGCTAATGCATGCTGTATGTCAAGAATCGCTTCCTTATAGATGTTACGAATTAATTAAAAGACATCGAAGCCCTTACTTTATGGCACCAGTTTCCGTGAGTGCATTGGTCAGATGTGGTACATAGAGCCGTCACACCATTTTGAAGCGTCATTGGTGGGCCAATTGGACATGGATTGATCAGGCCTAAATTGCCAAGCTGGTATCATTCAGAAGACCAAAAAGGGAACTGGATGTTTTACAGTTAAAAATGACTAGAACGTAAGATCTATCCTTACATCTCGGCACAGGAAGACAAGGCGGATGGGCACAGTCGGGTTCGATAAGCTGACAGATATCTGCTCCATTGGTGCATCTGTAAATAAAAAAATTTGTGCTCTTTAGATACTCGCCGCTACGACATGAACAACGTATTGACAAAACACCGTTGACTGAGTAAAAACTTTATAACTGCGATAAACGAAGTTTGTGCGGAAAAGCAAACCAAAAATTCGTCTACTTTCCTTATTTTCATGCACTCGAGACCGCATTGAGAAACCTTTTGACGGTTTCTCAGATTATTCCAGAATAAAAAATAGGACCCACCGTACGTCTTCGCAGACATTCCTACACTCACAAGCAGGATCGGGACATCCGAATACTGTCATCTTCAGCCCATGAGCGCATTGTTTTGAGCATTTTACTCCACAAAGTCGCAAATCTAGAATAACTAGCAAACTGGAATAATGTGTAGGAATACTACATACATACATTTGGGAAAGAAATTTCTGGTAACTTGTAATTTTGGGGACAGGCAAACAGTGGAGCTATTCAGCTTATAGAATTCCGCAACCTCTGTAGGATAATGCCATTCTTTTGTACACTTATAGTCGCTCATACAATTGAAATAAGCCTTCCGCTAAGCTACCCTCACTTCTTCCTGGTATTGTCGAACCCCGCGCATAGGTGCCATAATGCCCGACTAAGCCCGTCGACGTTTGACAAATAAAGCACATAGCTAGCCACGAGTCGCACATAAAAGCTGACACTGTGCAACTGGGACTAGCGACTTTGTTTGTCTACGGATGGATTTAGAATTCTAATCTCAAACTTGAAATTTCAGAAAGATGCAAAATTTTGACTGCTCAAATTTTTTTAGATAATGGCTGTGCTGAGGTCTTGACCTATCCGGGTAGATGTCATGACAGGCGGCTTGACGTGATTGAATGGAGTCAGCAGGGTAAACACAGCGGTACAGTTCATAGGATATCTGGGTAAGGATATCATCCAGAGGGTCAATAGCCTATAGTCGGCTTTTCTCGATAATCTGCAGCAAAACCTTAAGCAAAATCTTGTAATTCACTATCTTATTCTTATCAACTTTTCTGAAATTTTCAAAAGAGTTTGGTGCCTTTTAGAATTTGTAGGCCTTCGAAGAAAACACGGATACAAGTTAGATTTTTCGGAATGTTTCTGCATATCTCAATAGTAAGTCAAGTCCTAGCTAATTGCTCTCTCGTATGCAACATGTTTGTTAATACAAGTGGATCGAATCTCCCATTGACCTTACTTGGGCAAATAGTCAAAGAGTACTTGAACCAGATCATGTATAGAATAGGTAACTTTGCCTTAAGTCACTTCGCTTAAATTAGCGACAAAAATTCTCATAAAATCTAATTGGAAAAAATTATCAGTGCACAATTAAAGTGAAAAATTGTTTTGCGAGATATATAATTTCCATGCAAAATAACTCGAGAAATATTCAGTCAAAAATGCAATTTTTACCTCTGCACATATCGTCTCTTCTCATACCAACAGGTACAGATGATCCGGCAATTTCCATTCCGTAGTTCACGTCTACGCACCAACAAATACGCTCATCACATTGGATTGGAGAAAACTGAAATTTGCAATGAAAATTTGGATTACAGATCTGCATATTTTGTTTCAAAAAGAGGAAACAACGGCACAACATAAAACTTACTTTTCCACTACTGTCGCATTTTGGAACATAGCCATACTTTAGCTTTTGTTCGGGAAGTTTTTTGACAGCTATTGCGAAGTGTATGCAATCTGATAAAGAGTAAGTTGAAAAAAAATTCCGTACGAAATACGACAAAATTTCACTTTGCATATAGAAAATGAATAGGCTAATAAAATTCTCAATTTTCATGACGTTAAGCAATTTACATCTTGCTTTTAACTTGGCAGACAATTTTTTTAATATTTGATATGTTCATTACCAACTTCTGACTTACTTGTAGCTTTCGTTGGATCAACACATACGGAACCACAGGCATTCTTACAGCATTTCTCCACATCCTTACACTCGGAGTCGTCCGAACATTTTGTGTAAGCTGAAAACAATTTCTTCATTCCTGATCTACAACAACAGCAATTTTTCCCACTTGAGCACGCTTTCTCATCCCCGGCAGGAAGACACATTCCAGCTTTCTGTTGTGGGACAGATGTCTTAACCGCGAAAGACCGATCTAAAACTCACGTTCTTGATTTTTTTGTGAAAAAAAGGAAACCGACCTATCATGAGCGATACTGGCGCTATTGTAGCATTTACTGGGCGTATTGGTTCACTTAGAGCGGGAAGAACATTTGCTGTAGCAGTAACCAGGCGGTGGAAGGACCTCGCTTGAAAATAGCAAACTTTTTGTGTGTAGAAGAGAAAACGTAACAAAAATATTGGTTGTCCTATAGAAAAAAGTATTTTTCCTACCTTGTATAGGCTGCCCAGTCAATTGCATTTCCATAGGGAACCCTGCCAGTGGAAACATACATTCACGGCCACAACCATTTGAACAGCAAATCTGATGCCCTAAGATGGTAATTCATTAACTTCACTCAGATGAAGTTGAGTCTTTGATACCAAAGGTAATGTGTCGTTAGTAGAAGTTTCGAAAATATAAAACAGTGAAAATTTCAGAAATGAAAGCAATGGATGGAAAAAAAAGCGGCTAGCCATACGGGCTGAATTTTTACCAAAGGCTCCAGCTTTATTTTGTGCTCATTACAACAAAAAGCATTTTTCTTACAAAGAGTTTTCATACTTTTTCGAATTGAACTTTCATTTTTCTTTTATTTTATTAGTTAATTTGAATTCTCTAATGAAGCAGAAGAGAGGGCACTCGATAATTGTCTCGGTTACTGTTCGCATTCCGCCAGGTAGCATTGGAACTTTTTTAGGATTACATGGTAGTGAATGCTATTTTTCTATGGAAATTCCTACAAACCTGGACAATCGCTATCCGTCTTACATTGCACGTTACATAATCCTCCAATGATTCGAGGGCACTCGTGTCGCGGTGCACCTATTAACAGCGATAATTAGACTTCTTCATTAAATTCATCCGGTCTCTTAGCTGGTCCCATTACTTGGACTGGTGCATAGCGTGTGTAAGAAGTCATTCGCACATTAGAAGATTTTATGCAGAAGCCTATTGTTCGTTTTTGCACGAGGGGCAATAGGGCCTTGGAGGTCGCAGAAGTAAGCACAGGGCGGATTCCTCAATATTTTTCCCAACTGGGATGAATTTCATTGCGTTCAGTGGGTTGGGAACTTGCAAAAACATAGGGCAGTTTTCAAAAAACTTTTTTCGATCTGGAATGGATTCAAAAGCACCAAGTTCTCGCAACTGCGGAGGTTGCATGGTTGAGTGACCCATTCGCTGGACAATAAGATGTTGTGACTCTTCCGAACTTCGAAGACGAGTAATTATCCGGCGTCCACTAATTTTCCACCTATATTGATCGTGAAAAGGACTAGTTAGATGCTAGAATGTACTTATCAAAGGTAATGATACTGGTAATGGTCAGCTAATTCAGATTATTCAGAGAAGGTGGAACAATTATACCCAAAAATGAAATACTTATATCACAAGAAGTACATGAGCGTAAAAATTGCAAGTTTCCAGTTAAAAAATTATAGTAATGCAAAAAGAAGAGCGGACGGCGAAAGTGTAGTGGTCAGAAATGTTGAAAATGGCAGTATTTCTAGTTTTTTTCCAGAAATTTCCATGTCAAGTGTTCATAAGAAGGGTGTGAGAGTGAAACAGTGAAGAAAAGGGTTTAGACTAGAATTCCAACATCTCGAAGGTACAGAATATGGTGGGAGAACAAGTCAGAAAGATAAAGCATCTTTTCTCTTATAAAAAAAGAAAGTGGAGGGGGAAGGGGTAGGTGGACTGGAAATATCGGCGAGAAGAAGGGTCGTTTGGAAAAAGTAATACTAATACTTTTTCCTGCGTAAAATCTGAAGCTAGCAGGTTTAGCTTCATTTTAATCTATAAAGAGGAGAAGGAAAATTTTTTCTGATAGTGAATCAAATACTGTTGACTTTTTTATCTATGCCATTTTGTCATTGATAAAGCATAGTTCTCACCTGTATTAGAAATACATCCAGCAACACCTCCAATAACAGAGCAATGCTCACCAATAGCACAAAGTTTGAACTTGAAAAAGTCATTGCCAAATTCTACAGTATCATTAGCTATCATAACCCCACCTGGCAAGGATCCGCGGCACATTCACATGCACATTCCTCATTGTTTTGACGCTGATATCCATTTATACACAATAAATTACAATTCGGGGGTCGTACAGCACAAGAATCCTCAATAAGAGGAGGAAACACTGCAGCACTAATGGCTTCAGCGAAGCAAAATAGTAGCAGAATCATAACGATTAGCACAGTTCCGAATTAAACATTGATCGAAATCGATTCTGATGTCAGAAAGATGAATAGAGGAATATCGGCTTGTTTCACTTCATTTTCGAGCTGGAATCGACAATCGACGAGGTGGGAAGGAGGGAGAGCCGGTAGTAGGGTGTGACTACCGTGCGTGGTAGGCGTGGTCAATGTTTGATGTGTCGATTGAGTTGTTGCCTCGGAACGATAAACAGTAGCCGCTTACACATCTCCAATATATTAGGGTTAACTAAGAAGTAATTTTGATCTACAGCTCTCTATAAAAAGTAGGCTACATCAGCAATATTCAGGGTCGAGCAAGAGGTGTGGCACCCAACCGCTGGATCTCCCCCCCCCCTCCAGCATTTGGTTTTCCTAACGTATGCATGACCTAAAGGCTCCACCAATCATGATTAGTAACATATTCGTAATTGTCATGTTAAATAACCCTCGTGGGCCAAGTTTTAGGAATTCTGAAGGATTTCATTTCCCAATATCGGGCAAAGTGAAGTGGCCATTTTTAAATTACATTAACTGCTGGCTACATTTCAAAAGAGAATTATTGCTTTTTCTTGTAACTAATACAATGCATTACATCCTATTTGCCCGTACCATGAATCCTGTTTCAGATAACCATCAAATTGTGGAATTAGGAGCCAGCCAAAATTTCATTGGCCGCATTCGCTTGCAGTGATTGTGCTTCCAATAACTATTGCTTGAACGAAAGAAAATGAGTTCAGCTCTAATCACATCCACAAAAACTAGGAGATTTTGGCTATCGAAAAATGTACAATTTGTTCCTAAAACTTTCTTTGGAGGTAAATCAATGAGGTTGTGAAACACCCCATTGACTTACCTTCAAACCATTTAAATATCTGCGATTTTGAATATCGTTGTCACTGCTTAACCTTCTTTATAACAAAGTAGAAAATTCACTGAAATTGTGTGTTCTATGGAAAAATATGGTCGATTTTCCTTTCATATGCGATGAAAAATACCGCGAAAATATTGGGTTACGGTAACATGCTAGGTCTGGTTTACTACGTGATTCGCAAGGGAAGGCGACACTAATAAACATATTCGATATCCTAAGCCTCGTATTTTTCGCAAAAGTGCTTTGAGCCTATTTGATCGTTTTTAGCCGAGATATTAAAAGCAAAATCTAGAACAATCAAGATTTTGGCTTGCTCTTAGGTTGTTAGTTTGGATGTTATTTGAAGCCCTTCGTTTGTGCAAAGAGGTATTCAGTAGCTTTTTGTGTTAAGTGCAAAAAGAAGTAGTTAATTCACCAGCTCAGGGACTCGCGCCGTGCGGGCGGCCAGCGGCGACCTTACAATCGCTCATTGGTGTGTGCGATTGTACGGTCGTCGAGGGCCGTCGGCACGGTTAACGTGGGGCGCCCGCACGGTTTCTAATGGTCGCCCGCTTGCGCGGGGAAGGTCGGCCGCTCGCTTGCTGTTGGAGTAAATTCATATGGTGTATCTTGACCATTTTTCATGGATATGTTGGTCCTTCTCACATTGTGGGAATATGGATCGATGCCTGCGGCATTGCCCAGATTTTTCATGGGGAAGCGCCCACACCATCATTCTTGATAACTGTAGCCTTACACAGGTTCATCCCAGCTTTGCTGGTGAAGGAAAGCGTTGATAGCAGGATATGTCAATGCTTAGCCAGCCTAAACCCTGCGTCGTATCTCACGCAGGTACCTTTCACGCTCACAATGTGTGAAAATAGTGAGCAAAAGATTGAGGTCACTGATGGCCGCTTGCACGGCAACAGGTATTGCCGACCGATAAAACGGACACATTGCTGGCCGCACGCACGGACGACCGCTTGTACGCTAGCCCTTATAGGAGGACCGCTCGCACGGCGCGAATCCCTGAGAGTGAAAAGTTAACATGTTCGAAAATGACCTTCTCACTTGAGTGGCCTAATATCTGGAAACCTCAGCATTCGCTACTTACCACACAGGGGACTATTTGACATGCTGATTACGAAAATGATGCTCTTATGCCTTGAGGCTCTTTTATCATGCTGAGGATTGCGCTACCATTATGTAAGGTGATTGTACGTAGAATTAGGGCAAAACATTATTGTGGTAGTATATTTTGCATGGTGGACCTATCTGTCAACGAATATCGTGATATCAGCGAAACGAATCATTTTGATGAACAACACTCTCCCCCTCCCTGACCCCTCAATACGACCCCTAAGAGTGGCAAGCCACATCCGCCTGGCTGCATTTTCTGCGCGAGTTAGCAATGAAGCGAGTTCTTTTCTCAGCAGCTAGATTTATAGTCGAAATCATTAGTTCGACTCATGAATCTTCCACTAAAAAGTTACGAAAATTGTTTGAGTTTGCTGAGCTTCAACCAAGATATCAGCCACACTTTATTCACGGTCAACGTTTCGGCGGGATCGCCTTCGTCACAGCCTAGAAAGTCGAAAACATAAGTGAAACATCCTCCTAGACGCCAAGATCTCAGCTCAAGACGAAAGTCAAATTGGAGAGAGGCAAAGGCAAAGGGAGAACGGGTAACCAAGACTCACCTTCGATAACGTGTGATGATGTTTAGACCACCACGTTACGAAAATTTTTCCAATCCTCAAAAGAACAATTTTTTTAAACATGAGTAGTTGTTGTTTTTACTATATCACAAGGGAAAAATACTCGATCGCAGTGACGACTGGGTAAGCGATGTATACTGCGTATACCGTCCCCAGACGGTGATCTCTAAATCGCACTCCATACCTGCTATGACGTCTTTCGACTTGCCTCATGACTGCAGTGGTAGACTGGTGCAGGGGTAGTGTCTTGGACTGCTGAGCTGGATGTCGTGGGCTCAATTCATCTCGGATGCCGTCGGTTTCGGCGCCGCAAAATCCTTCATAGCTCTTCCAGAATGACATCACAGCAGATATGGAGTGCGATTTAGAGATCGCCGTTTTGAGACTATATACGAGGTATACACCGCTTATCCAATCGTCACTGCGAGGTATCCTTCCCTTATCAAAAGCATTATCCCAAGGAAAGTCTGAAAAACCAGTAAGAATACAGAAACCATAACTATTCATGGAAGAATCCGTGCAGCAAAGCACTTGATAATTAGGAAGAGGTCACAAGAACAAAAGCCGGATAAAAAAAATTTGGTGTGTTTACAAAGTTGAAAATAGAAATCCAAAGCAGAACAGTTATCTGAGATTGTAGGGGCAAATTTTTGGTAGTGATGATGAGAATAATAGATGGACAAATACTTTTTAGTAGCTAAATTTCACTGCTGCAAGCTTTTGGGAAGGCATAATGGGTATTCTAAAGTACCAATTCCAAAAAGCACTAAAAATGCCACTTTCAGTAATTTTTGAATATATTAGACAATAACCCTGCACGAAGGTGGCAAACGGACATCAATGGAACGTACTTCGCCTTTTCCACTTGGATTTCTACGATTTCTCATTTGATCCCGCCGTCTTCGTAGTTTGTCGATTGGAGCGCGCTCTCTTGCTTAGAAGGGCGAGCTCCATTGCTATATCGAATCCAAATAATTGGAGGACTTTTGGAACGAAAATCTCACTGTATGCTAAACTTTGTACAACAGATTTATGTAAAAATTTGAAAAACTTACGCGAAATGGAAATTTTGCCTACCTCAGGTGGGCAAAACAGTACATACATACATAGAGTAGACACTAGGTGGGCAATTGGCCACCTAATTGTGGAAAAAAATTGACCACGCTCTTCATTCACAGTCATAATTTTTCACACTTTGTACATTGTCCCTTGCGCGTACACCGAATTTCGTGCCATATCGTAATCTGTGCGTTGCAAACGAGGCATTCCTTCATTTTTTGCTAACAGGAAGTTTTCAAAAAAAGTGCTCTTCACTCATATAAATTTTCCACAAGGATCTGCACTGAGCTCCTCTGTAAAAGTAAATCCACGACATCCCCTTTGCTATCCATTCAAAATGATTTCCAGCTGTCATTTGCCCCTCTCTGCTGGGCCCTGCTGTCAGCCATTAAGTTTCTCAAAAAGCTGGTTAGCTGTTCACTTTTTTCCGCTAAATATTTATAAGTTGATGATCCAAGCTTTCAGTAGGTGACAGGTAGAAAAATCGCGTCTTATGAACGTAGTGTTTTGCTAAGAATTCGCTAAAATTACAGCATCTCAACTGGAACTGAACCATATGGAGAAAATCGCTTTCAGAACTTTGCTTTCCTGCCTTTGTTGATAGTTGGGGAAAACTGTTGATGTTGGAAGTAATCGAAGACAACATCAAAGGATTTAGATCTTTATTTACTAGACATTACGTCAAAAGATGTGGTGACCGCGAGAAAGGAAAGGGCCTCAACCTCCTCGAAGCATTCTAGGAGATTGTTGGTCTTGGCTTCCACTACGCATAATTTATTTCAAATCCTGCTTTGTTGCTGGAGGTGTGACCGGCTGCATGACTGATGAACGGTTGTATCAAAAAGAAATCGAAATAGACTACTGTGAACAGTTTCTTTTGCAGCCTATTCTCACACTTTTACACAGTTTCTGCATTTTCGGAATAGCAGAAAACCCGAACCGATTAAGGGCAGCGTCCAGGCAAGTCTGGACACATAGGGGTCTAACGTAAATAGTAATTTTGGGGAGCTAACTAAGCCACCGCCCAACCGGCAGCTCAGGTAGTGCTCTAAAGGCTGAGATATTCCTTTAAACTGGATCCCAGGATCGTATTTTGCATAGATTCGTGGCGCAAAGCGTGCGTCCTGGCGCGAAACTGCTAATGCGAATACGATCCTTGGGTCCAGCTTGGAGGCTATATCTATATCAACCTTTGGTGGGTCACCTGCGCTGCCGCTTGGGCAGTGCCTTAGTTAGGCCCCAAAATTACTTTACACGTAAAATCCACTTAGGTCAGGATTTCCTGGACGCTGCCTTTGACGACACTGCGATACACGATAACAAAAAAGTAACAGACAGAGCTTGTCAACTCAATTTTATAATAAGTTCCCAAAAAAGTTTTTCTTTTCATTTATGTGGTTATAAAAAAATTGTGCCTTTTGTCTGCGGATATTCTAGAAAAAATCTTGCTTTTGGCTCATGTGTAGCAGGCTGCAGATCAATAATGTTTTGCCACACATAAGTTTTATTAATTTACTGCTAAAAGTTGGCCAGTTTTTCAGTCTTGGATGAAGCCATTGTGTATCCAGTACGACATTTCGAAATTCGGTTGAAAAAAGTCATATTTGAAAAGCACATAAGAACACCCACAATTTAACAATAAGAGATTTGTTTTTCAAAGTGTGGTCGTTTCTATATGGCTGTCCGATGCTTTTGCAATAAAACTACAAATAATCAAGGATATATGAAAAATGATGTGGCACTTTATAGATTTTTGTTGTGGAGATTCTTGTCATACTTCCTCTATTGAACTAAGTCTAACTAACGCATTCTTAAAGTTCTTGTTCTTGCGTTTTCAAAGGATTCGCTTTTCAATAAATGATTCTGTTCATGTCCTGAAAGATTTGCTTTTCAATGAAACTTGATGAAGAAAGCAAATTAAAATCTGAAACAGACTGATCTTTGTGTTACCTAATGATTTGAAATTTCCGAAAATCCAAGGGTTTTTTCATTTGGACAGTTCAAAAGAGTAAAAAAACTTTCCAATTTCTGTATTAATGAGAGCTGTGCTCAAATCTCTAATATTTCGATATTTGGTAAAAATAGTAAAACATAAATCTTACTTCATTGTTATACATAGCAAAGCATTGTCAAAACGTGTAGATAAAAGATTTTGAAGATGAGTGTGAATTAATCACTGCTTCTGGCTCAAATCTCAACATTCAGATCACATCTCATCGTAGTATATCAAACCGTTATCACCAAGAATACTCAAATGATCCTCTTTGATTTGTACCATGTTTCGCTCACTTCCTTATCCCGTTTACTCTACGCCTCCATAGCCTTGTAAAAGCCGTGATCGTTTGCATCATTCTCGCTCATCCACGGCTTTTCACAGCCCTCTTCCACATCTGCGTTAATATCCTGGACGAATTTTAACTTCCTCTTTGTGCAAAAATTGGCTATACTTCATGAAGGAGGATCATCTTTGAAAATTGTGCTTAAAGATATGTTTCATTTATTTCTAGTAACTTTCATTAAGCAAACATAGTGTCATTTGTCATTTGCAATGGCTTCACTTTATTTTAGCCACTGTATCGTTCAAAAATATATGCACAGAAAGGAGGTAATAATTGTGACAAGTATTTTCTGGTTTAAAGGCAGTGTCCGGGCAAAAAGTCGATTTTGAGATTTTGTGCTTACCCGGGCCTATTCACTATGCTGAATCCGAAAATCCACATTGAAAAGCGTGAAAACGGCGAAAAAGGGCTCTAACGTGGGAGGGAAATCAGAAGTGGGCGGGGTCTTCCCCACTGTGAATCTCGTGATCTCAGCTTCTGGAGCGATCTTCTCAATTTCGCTAGCCCTCTAAGAACTCCACAGGCCGGGCGCGAATGCATGACTTGAAGTTGGAATCGAGAAGATCGCTCCGGAAGCCTGGAGCGTGAATCCACATTGGAGAAGACCCCGCCCACTTGCTGATTTCCGTTCAGCGTTAGGACTCTTCTTCGTCGTTTTCGCGCTTTCCGGTGAGGATTTTCGGATTCAGCATGGCAAATAGGTCCAGATAAGCACAAAATCTCAAAATCGAGTTTTTGCCCGGACACTGCCTTTAATTTCCAAAGTGCGTCTCAATTACAAAGGCGATAGTCCCAGGCGAGCAATTTGAGCAGAATTGAAGTTTGCACGGATTTAGGATATTCTTTGTTTCAAAAGCTAATGTAAAGCAATTTTCAAAAAATTGGCTTTTTATCATTTCAATTTGCAAGCAGTCAAAGGATGATAAGTTTTGAGCCAAGAATGCTGGACGCGTAAGAAATGTTTTTGATAAGATATGACGATAAGTTTCGATGCGAACCTATACTGCGCTGCTGGATAGTTTGTAATCTTGTTACTTGCAGTGGGATATACAAAATCTTACACTTTATTTGCAAGCCGAGTTTTCCCGGAAACCGGAAAAGCTTTTTAGAGGCTTTCAAGTGAAAAAAATCACGAATCAGCTTCAGCGCAATGTTGACGTGTCACCATTTCCTTAAGTGTTTGTTTTCCACATTTCTGAATAAGAAGTGTCTGCAGTGTTTATGTTCCTATTAAGCTATCAATTTTGAGCGTTTGAGCTGCATCTTTAACGATTGCGCTGCTCTACTTAAGTCTAACTGGCTACGAGCTTTTTGAGTAGAATGATATAGGTTGTGTAAAAGGCATTGCTTGAACCTGCGTTGTACACAGCAATGCTCGCAAGGGGTTTGAGAATGTGAATGGGCAGGTTCTGAAGCGCTAGGAGCTTGCCTCAAACGACCCACATATTCTTCAAAAGAATTCTATTAAATTCTGGAGATACTCTTATCAGAAACATACTCAGCATGCAAACAATGCATTAATGGAAATACCTCGGAACGGAGGTGACCACGCAAGATTTCTGCAACACACGCTCTCACATATTAATGTGCAAGGATTGAGGGCGGTGCATTTTTGCAAAACTCGAGACATCAGCACAGTTTTGTTTCAGCAAAGGTAACAGATAGGGAGGGTAATCTATAGTTTGGAAAAAAGATTGATAGTACATGCTTTGTTTAGAAAGCAAATCCAATCTAAACTGATGCAAGGTCAGAGTTCTGTTTACTGTGCATGCTCTAGTCTGTAGCAGTCATGCATTGTTGGTCGATCATACACAGGAAATAGAATAAATCATATTTGCTTCACGAGGTCAGATAGGCATAATCAACTAGATGGCAACTGTTAGTATCCTTGTCCGTTCGTAAGATGAGAAAGCCTTGGGGTCCTTTGATAACGGAAACGGGCGTTATTCCAAAGTGCCAAGACCAATGGTAGGATGTTCTGAAAATATGTCTTCACAGCAGACAATGGAACATTCGCTGTATCGACTACCACCTCAAACATTCGAGGCAAGGAACATATGAGAAAAAACGATGCGTTGACACGCTCTTTTTGTCTTCGTGTGGAAGCACTTTATTTAGCATATAAGATGAGGAAAGTGCTCTGCAGTATAAAAAAGGAGAAAGCCAACTCAAGAGAAATTTTTCGAACGCTTCAAGTGTAGTCAACCACAAAAGGCCTACTGTTCCTAGGAAGCTTCTCCTATAATTATTTCTCATATAACAGATTGAATGCACAAACAAAGCAAGCAATTGGGAACTTACCTGATAATTTGTTACAAGATGTATGACGGAAGTGCTTTTTAGAATGTGCGCAAGAATAAAAATAATATGGTTGCATGTATCTTCTCGACAACATGCGACTGAATGCAGTGCGAATCATAAGAAAAATGGCTGGATGAGCAGACATTACTACAAGAGAACGACAGCTTTTTCGAATTTTCTCTCACTCCACCCCGAACAACGAGACGAAAGTTTGGAGATAGCGTACATGAGTTACAAGATCTATGTAAGATGTTTTTACTCGTGTAGTCGATTCTCAAAATTTTTGAAAACTTTTTCATTAGGTCTGTAAAGTCTTTAGCGGAAGGGAGAAAGGCAGCAAAGTTTGATCTTAAAGTGGTAAATTTTTGTAATTTCTCATTCAGGAACCGTTTCTTGATATAGCAGAAGATCTTAAAAACCTTCATCAGCTGCCCACCAATACTCTCAGCTTAAAGCACTCAATCCAACACACCGCTGAACATTGTTGTCAGGAGCTGCCTATGCGTGCATTAAATCAGTTACCACGCCCCCGGTGGAACATATCATCCCCTAATTATGAAGCAAATTGGAACGTTTAAAAAGCTCTACGGCTAACAGATTGAGAAGAACGTGTAACGATTATGCGTCAAGCTAATATATCTTTCCTAGGTATGACCAGAGATATTTGACATCATTTCCATGCAAGCATTTTGTTAAAATATTACGACGTTGCAACGCTTGCCACCCACCTTCAGCTGAGCCCTTGAGAGAAACCTTAGGGAAGTAACTATTTAGGAATGATAACTTGCAATTTGAGCAGTTCTGACCTCAGTGTTTTTTGAATGTTCTTAAAAATTCAGACAGCAACGATGGATGGTATTTGCTAACAGCACAATATACACTTTGATTTTGGGGATTGTAGAAATGCTTACAATTTTACGAAGTCCTCCCAAAGCATAATTGCTGTCGGATCAACATTACGCAATATGATTTTCAAATCCAAAGTTTGCATCTCGCCCAACCGTATGGAGCTGATTCTACGCTTTCCGTCCAGCCATTCCTTAATTACAATTACAACAATATGAAAGTTTCTGGAAGATAAAACTCAATCAGCCGATATTAGGCGAAGTATTCAGTTCACCACATTTTGTTCTCTAGTAAAATTCCCTCACCAAAATAAGTTTATTTATAGCTCCAGATGTGATATAAGGCGAGGTGATGCAAATTTCTTCTGCTGCAAGGTTAATAAGCTGATCATCTTTCAACTCTGCTTTCCAGCCGTGAAACGTGATCTTTCGAGCGCATTGAAACTAAAGCGAATGAATTCATAGAGCAAGTTGTTTTTTACAAATCATCATACAATTTCATGGTCAAATAACTCAACACCGCGGAAGAGTTCGGTAGATCCATTTTTCATGACGACAGATACTCCGCATCCACGTTTCAAAAACCTCAGAAAATCAACGGTGACCAAGGGTTCGTTGTCGGTAATGACGGTAAAATTTTCCTTGGCTATCTTCTGCGAAGATGATTGTTCGGCTAAAACAGCCCGCAAATTCGCATTTGGTGAAGGCTGAAATGATCACATTCTTGTCTTGTCAATAAGTTCATGCAAAATTCAACCATTGAAACGGTCGTTGCTTGAATATTCAAAACTTTGGAGAGCCAGAACATAGCTTTTGTTGCTGCAGTAGTGGTGTTTGAGCTGTATCTTGTGCCTGGTCGCTTGCAAAGCTTTCCTTTTTCAAATATTAGCCTGCAACAATTTGCCTGCTTCTGGGATATCAGAGACTTATTTCAAACCTCTGCACGCAGCATCCCTCTTCACTGTCCTTGACAAAAACCAATGGATAATCATGTACAAATTCCGCTCCAGGTTTGCGCCAGTATATGTGTAACTCCACACCGTGATTTTTTGCGAGTTTACGCTTGAAAAACTTCTAATATCTTTTCAAAAAACTACTTTTAAGCTAATATTTAAACAGCTATTCGCACATGTTAATATAAAATAGGATTTACGGATTAATACCTGTTTCGTGGAAGCTGAAAATGCCGCATCTTCAAGTTGTATGTCAACCTTCGGTTTTATTTTGCGTACCAAGTCGTAGCATTCCTTACTTAGAAACATGATGCCTCTTAGTGTTGGAAATGTGAGGTATTTTAAGATGTGAAGCTTAACATCGGCTGGAAGATCACCCCATCGATGGAACTCGAGCAGGAAATCATCAAGAAGGTCGTATGCGACGTCAAACATGAGACTTGTACTTTCTGCCATAACTGCAAAATAAATCAAAGATTTTATCTTGGGGTATGATTGTTGGAGGTAAATCTCGTTTTTATAAGAAGATTATGCAGAAGAAAAATGCTCGCTGTGCTTTTGAGTAATCTGCGATGTAAAAGAAGACGCATTTATCCTAAACTACTCAATCATGCTGACTTCTCAGCTTTTGAGCATAACTTACTTGACCAAAATATCGTCTTCAGTTAAATAAAGGCAATGCTAACCAATACCTCAAGCGTGTCATTTGGCAAAGATATTTGGTCGCACGGAGATAAAGGATAAACCCAAAAAGCCCATTTCACAACTTTGTCCAGGTTTGTAATTCTACGTACTTCGAGTCTTAAAAAATGTGTCTACTGTTTGGCTGTCAGTAATCTTGACATGAAATCTTTGGAGAAGCTTCAGGCAACGTTTTAGAGCTGTCTTCAATATAGATTTGAGTATAGAGGAATTTACCTATCCCTTTTCATTACTGTAGAATTTAGGAACTTTACAGATGTTTTCGTGCCGGAGTGCCATATTTTGGCTCAGAAAGGAAAAAGACCCTAAAAACCTCAAACAAGACTAATTGACGTTCTGATTCTATACAGGGTGTCCCAAAAAATGTATCGAACGTTTGATCGTTAATATCTCTCTTCCCAAGAAGTCTTTTGCCTTGCTTCAAGTACCGTTTTGTAGAGCTGGCTTCAACTTAGATTTGCATTATAGAACGGAATCACTCATCTCTCTTCATTACTGTGGGATTACGGTAGAAACTCAAAACGTATGGTGTCAATGCGGAAAGAGCTGCCGTTTCAAAATTTTTCAAAAAATTGTGAAAACTTGTGTAATAGGGTTTTTATAGACGCTGAGTTCAATACTCAACTATTCACAAGATTACAAAGCTTTCTAAACGGTGTAACCGCACTTTTTAGGAACATTGAAAAAAATGGCCGCTACCTCATTCATAACTCTTCGATGAAGCATCGGAATAAGTTGGGAACTTTACAGTTATAATCAGCAACTTTAATTGGCCCAGCGTAAAAGTTTTGAGGCTGCTTTGTTTCTTTTCTGAGGCAAATTATGGCCTTTCATTGCTTAAAACCCTCTTTGAAGTTTCTACCGTAATCCCACAGTAATGAAGAGAGATGAGTGATTCGTTTTATAACGCAAATCTAAGTTGAAGCCAGCTCTACAGATTGGTACCTGAAGCAAAGGAAAAGACTTTTTTAGAAGAGAGATATTAACGATCAAACGTTCGATACATTTTTTTGGGACACTCTGATGGGGTTTGCATCTTATTAGGATGCTTTCTCAAATAGTTACGCTAGGTAAGTAACAGTAGCCGTCTTATCGACGTTGCTAATAAAGGTGATTACAGTATCATAGCTTCACAATCTTCAGAGTTGAGTATCAAACTAACACTAAAATCTATGGAAACCAATATGTTGCACGAAGACGCAATACTTTTGGGCGCGATCGCGGCTTTATTAGCCAAAGAGCGCATAATGCGCACGTCTTACTACGGTGAGGATACGTGCGCGCCGCGTTCGTGCCTCCTCAACCAACACTACTTCTGCGTTTTTGTCATGCAGCAGCCTTTAAACAATTTCGGATTTTTTCGAAATTATTTGAAACGGCAGCTTTTCAAGTGACGCAATATGCCGAAAAATCCCACCGCAGACTGCGTAATGAAGAGCAATCGATGACTCGCTCTCTACTAAAAGTTTCTAGAAAGAGTTCATGACAAGAGAGTTCGACAATCAAACAGTAGGCATTTTTTGAAACACCCTTTAAATCGTCGCTTCGTTAATTGCACGGACTGCTCAAACGTTGCGGATCGCGGGCGACGCGGCTGAAATGCTGCAGAGCAATACTTGTACAATGACAAATTTGTACCATAGCAAGCATTTCACCTCGCGGCGTGGTCTGCAGTGACGTACAGTCCGTGCTGTCAAGGAGTCGCCCATATACGCTCTTATACCAAACGCTGTCAGTGTAGGCTTTTAAGTGGTATAATGTGTGTTTTCCTATTTCGTGCTTACATAGAAAATCAAGCTCATGTTGCTCAGAACTGGATGTAATAAAAACTTGAAGAAACAGATAAAGCCGCAAAGAAAAAAGTTTGACTGTGGTGCACTGCTTTTTGAGTGTTAAAAGTTGAGTTGATTTCTTTTAGTGACGCAACATGTGAACTTACTCCAGAGTTGCAAAGTAGCAGACTACAAAGCTATTACAGACCAACATGTCAAGGCAATCGAAAAAAGGGCAAGTGGAGAAAGAAGTTTCGATAAAATTTTAGAACTTCGATTTTTGAAGAGAATTGGAGATATAACGATCTTATTTGTTGCGACAGCATACTTAAAGTCCTCGTTTTTAGCCTTTATTGCACAACTATACATTAGCATTGCGCAACCCTCATGTCCTGGATTGTGTTTGCACGAAAGAAGAACTGACGGACGTGCAATGAAGCATGCGTATTGTGCAAGTACAGAATCAATCAATTTGCGCCCTCATAAATTGCTGCCTATCGCGAAATGACTCACATCATAGCAGGTAAATTATAAGCAGCAGAGAAAGTTTCGTGCATGATCAGCCCGCTGATTTCATTCATAATTTGCATACGGGCTGATAGCACTTTCTCATGATAGAGACATTTTCTTGTGCATCCATCTGAGCAGCCTTCTGTACACTGACACAATCCACATCACGGGCGCTACGTATCAATCACACGATCGTGAGATCGTGTGCTCGCTACCGTTGAGAACATGCCCAAGATCAGGTGCGAGCACACGATCTCGCGATGTATAAAGCACACGATCTTGCCACAAGATCGTGTATCGCGCACGATCTGTCGAGATCGTGCGCTGCCCATGTGACGTGTGAAAAAGCGCTGTGTTCCATCACAACCATTGTTTTCGCACGCCTAATGACATGCGGAAATTTGTGAAGCTTCGTGCGCCCGACATCTTCGACCTAGGTTTTCCCTTTATTACCGCCCTCTTCTTTTCCTCAACATTTTCGTTAATGTCGTTCACGATTCTTTGTAGCTAAGAACATTTCCACAGTTATTGCTCACCACGTTTTGCAGGAGCGCCGCGCGATGCCTGAAATGATCGTTGGAGTAGGTTCAGCTAATCATTAAAGGTGATATATTCTCTTTATGAAAGGAATGAAGTGAATGAGGGATATTGCACGCAGTACATAGGTGAGTCATGGTCTTAGGTACATGAAACTTGTTACCATAAAACTTCACACCACCATAATCCCGTTTAGTCCCGCATCGTGTTCAAAGGAACAAACTGCCTACCATGATTACAATTTTGGAATGTTTGCTGCTAACATGATATCAATGGTAAGTTATACAGACTTGGGAATCAGAGTCGACCGCTGACCATTCCATCGTTAGTCTCAAATACTTGCAGGTTCTATTGGCCAAGAGTGTTTAGTTGCGTAGTGATAGCAGATTCCGGAATTTTCTATGTGGAAAGCAGACGAAATTTTGATAGAGGTATCAGCAAGCAGCTGAATAAGATTTTTGGAAAAGTCCGAAGTTTTGCGCTTTTTCGTTCAAAATGATCATTGAGTTGCATGATCGCCGTTGCTTTCATTGGTGAGTGCTTTGCTTTTTTTCTAACTGCTTTGTTTCTCTGTTTTACTTTTCGAGTGGCTGCAATGTACAGACTGCAAATCTGTCATTAGGCAACATCTAGATGTAATTGAAAATTAGGTTGTTATACTGTAATTTTCTGATCCAAATTTACTTAGTACTTTATCTTAACTTTTATATGCGCTGGTTTTGGTGATTTGGGCAACGAATGCTCATTTAAAAGCGTAACATAATTCATAGTCGAGTAGATATTGCACTCAATATAGTGCGCTTGCGGAACCGAGATTTTGCGGTGGATTTTGAGCGCAAGAAATAGCCATGCTGGTTATGCCGATTTTGCACATGCGGGTGGCCGCCATTACTGGTGTGGCTATTCGATTATGCGCAGATTTTACCGCTATGTCTCGGCGCCGCAAGCGCACTATGTTAAGCGTAGAATCTACTAGACTGTATGTTATGAGTTTGTTATTATAATCTACGCATTTAGGCTGCTATGGCGTCAACCTAAATATCGTGTTCACACTCTTTATTTGTTCCGTAGTTGTGTTCCTTAGAGGTAACAAGCTGCGGCTATATCTCGTCCATGAAAGAGAATGGGTGAGTTTGGTTGATCTCGAATGCTTTGTTATCTTAAGCACATGCTTCAGATTGACTTTCAGTTACCTGGTGCTTTCAATTATATGGTACGCCATTCTCGAAATGCAGGAATCACCCAAGAATCCGCATCCCTGAAACACATTTCGCGCTGTTGTTTCAAGCACCCTCAATGCTTCTATTGATGCTCATCAGCGTAATGCGTAGTATTTGAATGCCACATTGGGTCTTAAATCCAATTTCTTAGATTTTCCTTTTCCTACTTACATGAGATAGATATCTGCGCTATCAACAGTTGTTTGCTCTCGTGCTCTCACTAGAGTTCTTGGATTTTCTTAGGTATTGATGTAAAGATGTAAATATGTCATTAGAGCAGTCGATAAACCTTGGCAAAGTATAGTCAATTAGTAATTTCCTGTAAGCAGGGCCACATTAAATCCACTTCGTTATTGGTTGAATCAGTGAACTGAATGGCGAAGCGTGTCGACCAAGTGAATCTAGTGGCATTGGTCAGTTCGCCTTGACCGATGACAAATAAGAAGAAAGGATAACTTTCAAGTAAAACGCGTGCCAGAGAATAGACACATACATTTTCTGCACAATCACACCACCATGTCAGTCTCGACACGCCTAGCTCCGTATTCAGTGTATCATATAAGGGTTCAACTTATTGATCTAACCTATACAATTCTTTGTTAATTGAAAAGCAGTCCAGATAGAATATTTCGTCCATAATATAGCAGAACTGCTCCAAAAGATGGGTAAACCACCAAGCAGACGTTTTTTTCCGGATTGGCTTAATAAGTAGGGAAAATCGGTCTAATCATTTCTGCAAAACGAAAATAGCATAGAGTCAAAGCAAAGTACGAAGTGAGAATGAGTAATATCTCGTCATTAGGTTCCCGTTCTTTTTATCGTGTCTTCAACTATGGTGTCTACAGTCTACTAAAACAGCTGTTCTAATGAGGGTGACAGGACATAGAAGGCAACAATACATGTTGGTGAATTGTTTGAAATTTTCATCTGTGTACTATCTACTTTCGTATCCCCTCCTCGCTTCGAATATGCTAGCGTTTTCATCAAAGGCATTCGCCAGAAGGTAAGCAGTTTCCTCGCCTTCACATTGGCAGATGATGGCCAAATGTTGCATTTGCTAATCTGCTCGTTTGAGCACCGAGAAAGTTAAGTAGCAGTCTTTAAGAAATGATTTTAACAGCAAAAGACCTTTCTAACAAAATGATAATATTCGATTTTCGAGCTAATAAAAAACTACAAGATGTGAGAGGTCGGACGAGTCACAGTGCTCAGCACAATCAAAGATGCCACGTAAAATTATAGAATTCATATCTCCATAAGTGTGAATAGGGAGCTCTAGCAAAGTTACGACGCATTCGTTCCTTAAACTCTAGCTTCGACTGAAAGAAATCCATGGAAATTTCGCTTTCCTTGCGCCACCCATAACCGATTAATATAATGATATTTGCAGTAATTATTATTACATCAATCATCGATATGGGCGGCACAAGAAAAGAACAGCAAATTTGGCATGAAAAGAGGCGTAACACAAGGGAAATGACTTGAAATGAACGTGTGACGTCACTTCGCGTTGACGCCAGCACGGTCACTCGCTATGCGTCAGTTCGGGTTCCTGGCGCACACGGACACCGCACATCGTGTAATTACACGATCTTGCGCACACATTGATACGTCGCGGGCGCCTCGGCAGATCGTGTGCTGGTTCAAGATCGTGTAATTGCCAGATCTCGAACCAGCACACGATCCTGAGATTGATACATAGCACCCCAGGTGAACATCGATGGACGAGACTAAAAATAAGGAGACGTTAACTCTTATAGCCACATGAGCTTATATGCAACTTGAAGAAGCTTACGGTTGCCCGCTGCACTACCTGTGATTCAAATAGGGGCAAACGCCGGGTTTGATCACCTCAGGCTTCTCTTCTTCTGCCTCTCCTACTATTGATAATGGAGATGTCTCTGAAAATGAAGCGTGTGAAATAAATGAGTTTAATAGAATGCTATGCAATAAATACGATGAAAATACTCCAAATATGACCAAAAAGCTCAGAAAAGCGCTAAAAACACTAATCTTCTCAGACTTCTAAGAGGCTGCGCAAACTTCTTGCGCTATGAGCGCTCTTCCCCTTGAAAATGTTAGGTTACAACATAAGTCGTGTACCAAAATTTTCGGAAGATCCGCAAAAAACCTTTACATTTAGTCCGTTCGATATACAATACCGCTCACAAAACGGGCAAAATGTCCGTGAAGTCGCGAAATTCCTCGATATCCCGGAAATTTTGCACGTCTTGTGAGCGGTATTGTATTAGAAGAGTGGCGGCTTTATAAGCTAATAAAAATTGGGGGAAGATGAGCCTTGCACGAAAATTTTTTGAAAATCATTCAAAAATGCTTATGCAACCATTTCAATCTTTGAAATTTCATTTTTAATTTCGTTCGGTAAAAATGCTGGAAGATCCAGCAGCCTCCAGTTTGACTTTTGGTTCACGTTTCATGACCTACACCTTTTTCTGAAATGAGTTGGTGCTGACTGCATCTTTCTGCGAAAATTTATAATTTTCAAATTTCTCTTTCCGACTTTTTTTTGTTCGGATTAGAATTTCTAGTATGAATGATAAAACACCACATATTCTATAGATTGAAATGGTTGCCTAAGCATTTATAAACAAATTTGGCAAGAAATTTTTCGTACAAGGCTTATCTTCCAACCCAACACTTCCATTATAATTGTTGCATAAATAGATAATCTGTTATTTGCCAACTCTTACAGTGCATACCGCATCCATCGTAGCAACATCTTCAGCTACCTGAACAATCGTCATCAACTCTACAATCAGTTGCAAATATCTGGTCTATCCGGCGCTGGAGCAGTGGGTGAACACACGCCTTCATGAACAGTTCGACTAGTATCGGGACAGCAAATTCCCGTTGAAGAGATGCCGACCTTAGACCACGCTTTTTTGAGAGAATTTTCAAAAAAAGAATTACGAAGACATTACTTGATGACATCAGAAGTGTGATGGACACTGGTCCTTATAGCTGCATGTTTTAACTACTCCTACAGCAGAGATGAATGGCTCTCTACGCGGGCACAGGCTGAGAACACCTAAATTTGTAGCTTAGGGATGGTAAATAGGAGAAATACAGTTTTTGAAGGTTCGGAGAACTGCCATATGAAATCTATCTTCTTTCAAGTCCCCTGCGATAAACCTTGTTAGAAATAGAGTTTTTCTTGCAAATCGTTACAAGCGACCATCTTGGCTAAAGAAGACAATTCTCTGTTTGAAAACAACTAACAGCTTTCATGATGCAGAAACTGCCTTGGGGACATCTTACCTGAAAATTCTTCTACGAATACATCCCGAAGTTTAGTTGAAGACCAACCTCTGCGCATGGGTTGCTACATTGACACGATGGGCATCCGTTGCTTCCTTCTCAAAGTCGTAAGGGCAGGATGTACGGCAAGTCATCGTCGGGCAGGAGCTCAACTTTAGAAAGTGTTTAAGATGTAATTCATAAAATTTTCAAAAAGTCTTACTTTCACAATTAGGGGTATCACTGACAGTTTTGGTGCCGGAAATCTCCTCTCCATTGTCTATATCAACGCAAAAGCATCCATCATAATCGCACTAGAAAGACAAATTATGTCTTGAGTCGAAAAAACTTTTTTTGCTGTATCAATGCATGATCAGAATATGGCGCTCAAAGATGTTAATAACAGGGTGAATTCTTTTTAAGAACTTGAATTGTGCTTACATTCTATGCACTAGGAATCTGCCAGCATCGAATTCTTTTCTTAACAAAATTGAACGACTTAAAATTCTAGATTGTCGTTTAAGTTACTAATAAGCAAGAAAGCTAACTGCAAGCTTCATCACGCAAGTACCTTCCAAAAATGGCAGTAATCATGTGAGAATAGGCTGAATATAGAGTAACAAAAATATTTTGATAATTTCGGAAAGATTCTGATATTTCCTTTTACATTCCGTTTCTGGAGTCTCCTACAAATACACAGATATGATTACACTAAGTTTGAGATATTAAGCAAATAGTACCAGGCTTTTTGCATCTTATCCTCACGAATTGCTAGACGAGAAAAAAAAAGAGAATTTTGGCAGAGACGGTTGTTTGCAGCACGCAGGTCTCGAAACTTTCGTCAGGGTCGTCGGACATACCACCTCCCTGCCTCAAGCAACAATTAATGCCGGGCCTACGATCGCACTTGCACAAGCTCAGGTTGCGTGATCTGCCCCGCCGGAAAACCGGGTGATTGCATGGAGTCAGGCGTGGTATATTTCATAACGTGTTTGTCATGCGGGGACCAATACATAGGAGAAACAGGCAGGCCGCTGTGCGTAAGAACTGAGGAGCACCTGGATGGTCTTTAAAAATCTAAAACATCCACGCCACTGGGCGCTCATCGCAGGCAATGCCATGAGAATCAATTTTTTGAAACATCTGTCACGATCCTATCGCGAGAAACTGAAGTGGTAGCGCGAAAAACACTAGAGGCGTTCTGGATAACATCCAAGAACTCAAAAATGAACCGCAAAGACGAATGCATCGCTGTGACCGACGAATTGGCTCTATATCAAAACCTCTGTGGGTTTTGATCTATGAGGTCGAGGTCAGATGCGTACGAAAGAGGCTAGTTTACTAATGAGGGCATTATCTCAGTCGGTGGTACTCGCTCTGTTTACCGTTAAGGCTGTTGAGATGAGCGCTAGCTTGGTCTGTCCTCTGGTACTGTAGTAGTGTTTATCATGATGCTGTTTGTTTCTGTAGGCTGACAAGGTGTTTGAGCGGATAAGTCGCAATGTTTCTCCTTTTCAGGCTCTGAAGAAGGCGACGCCGCCGAAACGTTAGCCCAAAATAGAGGTTATTGCCAATCTTGGCTCAAGGCTCAAAAAACAAGCTCAAAGGTTGCCAAAACGTTTTACCTGTATCGGTTCATAATTCCCCGCATGATTACATCGTTTCAACCATCGTTTCTACTACTTTCAACTTTCGTACATTTCAGCTGTCAGAGCTGCATGAAAACAAGCTAAAAATGAAGGCTATAGCTCCAAAAAAGAATGCAGACTATAGTCATAAATAAGAAATTCTCAAAAAACCCCCATGAGTGGTCCGCACTGGATATAAGCACTGTGTCGAGCATCCAACTCGACAACATCGTTTCATGTCAGGGCACTCATCGTCAGATTCACAAAGCGAGGAGCAAATCGTAATCCTGTCGTTAAGAGATTTTTCCATAGATGAGGGGCAGTCAGCAGTCAGGGAAGACAGCATACCTAAAAATTAGGTTAGCTGACAGATGCGTTTCACTCTAGCCATCCTAAAAGGGTTACAATAAACTTTTC